TCACTGCCAATTCCAACACAGAGCAGCCATTGTTTTGAGTGAACCCATTTACATCAGTGTGGAATCGCTGCTTCATTGAAATGCCTCGTATTCTCGGTCTGTGAAAGTGCTCGTGTAACATCGAGAAGCATGCCCGGGAACCTGTGTGTGTGTATGTTTTTGTTTTTGTTTTTTTTTTTAATTGTGTGATTGTCTGAAGGCTGGAGCCCTTTCAGAGCTTGAGGATAGAAAACATGGGCCATCAACAGGGTGTTTCTGTCACGCGCCTCACCAAGACAAACCATTCCTTTGTACCTTGACCTCTGAAGGCCATATATGTCTGCATATGCAAATGTTTCTGGAAGATTTAACCGCTAAAACGGAACGTTTTAGCCCAAATAGGTGCTCACGATGTGCACAGCGCCCTTTCCCCAATCCAAGGTCAAAATTAATTCCATCTTTGTGATTCTAATCAGTGAGCGATCTTTTAATCTTTATACATCCGTCTATTAAATAGGAACCTCTCTCTGCTAACGAGTACATTGAGTAATACTTATTTTTGGGTTGGTTGCATTCAACAGGCCAGGGATAATGATTTCACCAGTGAATTGGCGAGGGCAAATTTACAGGGGAGAAAAAAACAACAACAGTCTGTGAGGGAGAAGGGGGTCTGTTTAAACTGCAGCCAGGCTCCGTCTCATGGGTGTGTGTTACCCCAGCAACCTCTGATGCAACAAACTACCTCAGAGATATGGAACATTAATTATGTGGTTACGGCCGGTCGGGAAGCGTTGTTCTCCTCGCACCCGGCTAGTAATTACTAGCATATGATGCACACAGGAGACGTGGGGTAGTGTGAAACGCTCGTATCGACGCTCAGACCGGTACAGAGCCCTCTGTTATCCAGGTCCAGGGACGTGCTGAAAGCTTTAACCTCCAGAAACGTAACGATCGCTGGAGTGATGAGGGCGGAGCTTGGGAATTGAAAGGGAACATGCAATGGCACTTTCCTGCATACATTCTTTGATGGAGCTGGTCCGTACTGATCTTTGGTGGTTTCAAGGAAGCAACACAGATGTGGGCAGGAGGGATGTTGCCAGCCAAAACAAAAATAGCAAACTCATAGACCACACGTCTAGAGCAACTTAATGTATAATTCACACCATTCTTCCTTCCATGCCCAAATGGCATGCATAGGTGAGAACAAGCACTTTGATTATCTTATTGGTGAGGACGTGGAAATGGCAGTGACTACATAACCTACCTCTTGTGACACCAAGGCTTTAGGTGAAAGTCAAAATAACGACGAGACAGCGTATCTCGGGCCTTGATATAAACAGGTGGTTGATGTTGAACTGGACTTAAGCTTGGCCAGACGTGAAGTGTCTCATGAAATGCAGCTTGTATTGCATCCGATTAATGTCAGGAGCCTCTTTCAAATCGTAATGCTCCACGTCAGTTTTACCGCAAGTCGGTTATGGCCCAGCCCACGGAAAAATCCACACGTCTGCGAGTGTTGCTCACTGCAGAACCCTAAGCTGACTTGTGGTCTCCCTGAGTGACACTAAGCTGAGGGTTTTGCCTGCAGGTGACGGAATCTGGCATCTTCTCCCAGCGTTGGGGGGAGGGCTGAGTTTGTGCACCGTCTAGCTGCAGACATGGATGGCTAATGGATCCCATTTCCTGAAGACCTTTAGGCTTCTTTCAGGTCCTCTACGAGAAGGTTCCACCGCTGGGCTTTTGAAGTGTCTGCAGGAGAGGAGAGGAGATCTGGCGTGGTGTGCATGTGTTTGTGGTTGTTTGTTTTCTACGGAAACTGCTCGCTCTCAGAGCTCCAGCCGAAAATGCTGTGGCACGGGCAGATTACACAATCAGGGCAATTGTTATTGTTATTATGATTGTTTTTGTTTTGGATCTGGAAATAATATCATTGACGGGAATACGAATGGTCACATTGGCCCTCTGCTGTTGTTTCGACGTTACTCCTCCCTGCTGCCACCCTTCCCTCAAAACGGGTTTTTGTTTTGCACTTGCGTCAGGAGCTCCAAATGGGTCCTTCTCACGGACCTGCAAAGCTACCAAGGGGAAGTGGGAGTGGGGAAGCGAGGAGTAAGGAGGGAATGCGGTTTACCCCCCCGCTCCTCCCAGCCCGCCACTGGTGAAGTGGTCCTACAGCATCCTGCTAAGATAACTCTTATCTTAAGTGCCACTTTACAAACAAAACAAGTGCCTTTAGCTGTCCGCTCTACAGCACTCGTCACCTTTAGCGGTCTCCTGCCAGATGGTTCGAATTACATGCCGACAGTAAAACGCAGGCAGGGGGCGCGGCTCTGTGGGGGCGGGCCTGCCCGCTTCAGGTTGTCTGCTTGCCGGTACCTTATAAAAGCGCTGCGTTGTGCAGGTTCCGTGGCGTGAGAGTGTCAGGGAGCCCACGGGCGGGTGGGAGGTGTTGGGGGGTGGGGGGGATAGGGGTAGGGGTGTGCCGTGCCATGCCCGTCTGAGAAAACAGTTCTGTTTTTACACCCCTGCTGAGGGCTAAGTGAAAAATCACCCCGGTCGATCTCTGATAGGAAGCCTGCAATCATTTACGCTTGAATTTTCAACTTGTTGCCAAGGCAAAAGAAAAAGAAAGAAAAAAGAAAAGAGCTAAAATGAGATGTGATCAGGCATCTGACCTGTGAATGTGGATGCCTGTATCTCTGCTGATTTAACATTAAAAGTCCTTTTAATTAGTACTTCATTCCTAGTTAATTAGGATTTTATTTACACTCAAATCAGAACGCATGGCCACTTTTTTTGGTAGCGCGGTTGTGACGCCACAGAATTCTGATTTCCATCCATTCATTAGAATACTGCATAGGTGCTTTAAATGAACATCATTGTCATCCATCCATATGCAAGTTTGGGATATAGTGCTACGGAGGAAAGTTCCTCCAGGAACAAGGTGAATTGTACATGGAAGACAGCCACTGCTGGAGGCTTAACATAAATAAATACACGTAGTTTAAATATAAATAAATGAAATTCATGAATAAAAAACAGAAGCAGATTGTCATAGGCACGTAGCAACATATCTAGGTATGGATATAAATGGGTTGCATTAGGTTTTGGTTCATCATGGGATTAGAATATATAAATAAAATGAGCAGCAAGTTTGTGGTGGACAGGGGATCTGTCTCAAGTTCTCACATTCCGCGCAAGGTTCATGCAGACCCTCTGAAGTAAATTAAGACATAACTTAGGCTCACTGAAGGAAGTCGTGTAAACAGTGGAGCGACAGCTGCTGGAGGGAGCATTCAGCAGAACGCTGTGTGTTTTCGCCTGGTGATAATATGAACCAGCGTATCGCCCAGTGTCCTATGCAGACAGACCATGCAACTCTGTGTCCCTGATTACATGGAAAACAAAATAATTGTCCTGAAGTTTTGCTTTGTTTCTGTTGAGATTTGCTGCCCTTTGTGAGCTTGGCCTGTGGTTTTCCAGGATTTATTTTACATTGGTTTGTTTTGTTGGTTTACTTTCCCGCCTGCGGTGCTCACGTTAAAGTCGGCCGTGTCCTTCTGCCGCGACCTGCTTTGATGTGGAAGTTCCTCTGTCTAGTAGGGAGATGTTTGGTCCCGGTGCACGTCTGGTGTGTAGATGCAAGTTGTCTTCTTGACTTGACAGATCTTGGTCATGATCTATTGAGGTTGAGACTGTTGGTGATCTTCTAATCGAAACTTTCTGGCAAGTCGTGTGTTTGACTGAGAACTTTGGAAATGTTGAGATCTCTGTGAGTCTGCTTTTTAAATTTCTTTTCTTCACTCTTTTGAGTTATTAGTGTGTCCTGGACAGTATAGAAGTCCCGCCAAAGAATGGAGAAAAGACCTTGACAGTAATATGGGCGTCGTCTTCAGCATTTAGAGTTTTTCCACTTAATCAGAGTTTTAAGTGGGTGGTGGTGAGGGGGGGTGGTCCTTATGTGTCGTTTCCACACAGCCCTGACGCTCGTCAGCAGATGTGGAGGGGAGATACCAGAAGGGTCACGGAGCAGGTTTTCCAAGCTCCTCCTTCACTAGATACGGTAGTCCCAGGTGTCCAATTTCGTCCTGGTCTGGGGAAAACGTGTGACGCTGGGTCATCTTGTGCGTGTCCCACTGTGGCTCGTGACCTCCTTGGGGCATCCGGCACACCGTGCCCCGTATGAACCCCTCCGCAAGGTGAAAGCAGGAAAACATGTGGAACAAGCCAGGAAAGCTGAGAGAGAGAGAGAGAGAGAGAGAGAGAGCAGAGGCTGAGGCTGTTTTCTTTAATGAGTTTACATCTGGTGGCTTTTGTTGAGAGGGGGATAGGGGAAAAAAAAGAAAAGGAAAAAATATGGCATAAAACATAAGATTGCGAGTCTGGTTTCGCTGAGGATCAAAGCCTTCCAGACTGTGACTTCCAGACTGCTTTCAGTGCGTTAACGTGCTTTGCGTGTTACTGTTTTCAGTCATATGCTCTGTGTTAGTCCAGCCTCTCCTTACAGCTTCTCGGTAGTTAGATAAAAAAAAGAATTTATTGTCTGAACTGTCTGTACTAAAATAACAGTAAAAAAGGAGAAAAAAAAACATAAAATATGCCATGAGGGCAAAAGGTAGCGATTCCGTAACGTCTGTAAGTATTAAAGAAGGAATTACGGGCTGAGCTGTTTGTATGGGCCATAAAGACCGAACAGTGAAAGGCTCTGCTGAGCTCCGAGCATTTGTTGTTATCACTGAAGGGACCGAGGCCCCCGTTTTGAGTGAGGAGGGTCATGTGATCTTGCTGCCGTGTCGCGGACTGAAACAGAGGTTTCCCCATTTCCTGGGAGACATCACTGCCCACAAAGGGAAGGAGTTCTTGCCTGTTACTTTTACTCTTCCAAATGCCTAACAACTAATAAAAGGGGGATAATGCTGAAAAAAAACAATTAAAACAAGCCCAGTCACCGTACCTGTTTTGTGAGTGCAGCTTGAGGTGATCATTATATGTTCCATTTCTCTCCTGCAATTCGTCCCCAGACCTGCCAATCCAAAGTGTTCGACCTATCAGATGGGGTGTCTCAATACGCCTGGTTCCCCTGTCGGGAGTCCCCTCAGCCGAGCTGGCAACCACAGTACTGGCTCAAGGTAAGCTCAGAGGTTCCATCTGACACATGTGCCCAGGGTTGCCATGTGTGGAGGGGCATTGGCTGACGCAGTGGGTGGTGAATCAGAATCGGTGGCTCGAAAATTGAAGGGATTAGATCCCAAAGTAGGGACTGCTGATGTAACATCAAGAAAGGTGCTCAACCAACTAAAGGTAATGATCAGTTGTGTCATCAGTGAGGCACCGTGGGAGAGCAAACTCTATGCCAGACACCACTTGACAAGACTGTGTATGCCAAGTGATGCTCACTGTGAACATGGTTCGGCAAGCCAGGATGGATGGATGGATGGATAATCTGATGCCTCTCCCCCACCCCAGGCATACTTCTCCCATCCCATGGTGGCCGCGGCGGTTATCATCCACCTGTCTGCCGATGGGACCAGCTACAGTGACCAGACGCAGCGCAATGTCACCGTTCAGCTGGTGGACACCAACAGCCAGTTCCATAACTTAGGTGCCTTTTTCTTGCCTCTGTCTACCAGTCAGCTGCTCCTGAGCAGGAAGGCTTTGTGTTTTCTGCAGACCTGCCAACACTCCCAGTTTTCCACACCTCCTCCCGCTCTACTCTGATTTACCATTACTCCCAGAAAACTCCTGATTTTCCGCATCCATGTTCCTCATTCTGCAGATTTTATCATCAGGGACCCCCCCATCTCTGCTTAGAAAATGTTTATTGTCAGGGATCCTCCCCTTAACCCCCTCCCAGCAAAATCCCCCTGTTTTTCACAACTTAATGTCGGTAGGGTTAGTTTATTGACAGCCTCAAGCTGCTACTCTGGGATGTTTTTAATCACGGCATAACGGTGAGGTCCATAGTTCGGCAACAATCAGGAAAGAATCCGACAGGAGGGTGGGGGATTTTGGCTGTTAGAACTACACCTTTGTGCCTTTAGAGCAGAATTTGGGATCTCCTGGCTTTCTGCGGGAGACGGCGTTGTTTGTGTGTGTTTTCGCACCCTGGCGAGTACATGAAATGGCGTGTTTTTCTTTTCACAGCTTAACAGTTTGCACTTTCCCATGACCGTGCGCGAGAGCGTGTCTGCTGACGTGATGCACACGTGTCTGGCCCCAAGTTTGTATGTGGGTGTATGTGACGGGCTGTTCCATCGATGCTTCTCCCAGGAGACTGGCGCCTGAGCTGCCGGAACAACCCCCTGGTGATCCCGGTGGTCCACGACCTAAGCGTGCCCTTCTACCGCACCCAGGCCATCTTGGTGCTCTTCAGTTGGCCCCTGGTGGCTATCTCTGGTGTGGGTCTGCGCTCCTTCCAATATTTTGACCCCATAACCATCAGCGGCTGCCAGAGCAACGAGATCTACAACCCCATGGGTCAGAGGTGAGCGGCAACTCCCCCCCCCCCACTCGAAACACAGGCCACACACACACCCACGTGTAAATACACGTACTGGACAGTCTGGATCTGTCGCGGGAGTTTCCTTTCATCGTGGTAGCAAATGACTTGAGGAAATTTGCGCCGTGTGCTTATAGACTGTGAGCAAAAATCCAATGATTTATGGCATTCTGGGTTATCTGATATCTGATACGGTCCAAGAATTTAGGAAAGCGTCGGCCGTCCCACGGATTTTCCATCTCCTTTCGGACAGAGGGGTCAGGTGGAGGCAGGAATGATTCAGCTGTTTAGACAAAACGGGGAAAAACAAGCTCACTTGTATCTGAGCTGAGTTATTGCCCCATGCCGAGGGCCCAGGAAATCATAATAGTCCATATCGTAAGAAATGTGATTAAAATGCAGATCATAACTGAGGTGCCTGGGATTGCAAGCGTGTTTTTGAGCGCGGCGGGGCTCGGCTATCTGGCGGAGCACTCCGATGACCACTGGGTCACTCCCGAGGCGGCCGGTGCCAGAATCGATTCCAGAGGAATGCCGCTGTTTCACAACAAATCGTGCTTCCACTCTGCAAGTGTGCAGTTTGCACGTCCTGTCCTCTCTGTGATTTTGTGTTCGCCCTATGATGGGCTGGCATCCCCGCCAGCATGGACCCTCACCTCATTCCCCATGCTGCCTGGGACCGGCTCCAAACCCACCAAGATCATTACCAGGATAAACGTTCGTAAGATGGACGGATGGATGGATCCTTGTTGTATTTTTTTTTCCAAAATTCTTGTTTATCGTTCAGATTAAATTCAGTTAAAAATTAACACCATTTTCTTTTATATAATGAATACAGAGATATTTGTTTTTCAAATCAGATGTTTGCCTAATAAGAAAATTATTTCCTGTCTAATACTACTTAGTTTTGCATAAATTGTGGTTTTAAAATTTTGGGAAAATACTTAGTTTGCCGTGTCTTGCAACTTAATCCTGTTTAGAAGACATGGTACAGTTACCCCCAGGTCTGTCTCTGCTTTTCACGGTTAAGTGTTTCGCTTGGCTGCATTGAATTCAAATCAAAACGAAACAAACACATGGAATCGTTGATGGGGGTGATGAGGCAGGTGCAGCAAGTTTGTGGTGCAGGTGTCTGTCGTCACCGGGCGAGTCACGGGGCTCATGAGTGGTGAGAGGCCAGCTTGTTTCTGTAAGTGCTGAGAAATCCGGCGTATGCGTGATGCCGTCGGCGTGGGAATGAGCCGCGATACTCAGGCCGCGGCCTGCTCTCCCGGGAACCTGTCAGGCTGGCGGAAAACCGAAAACAGAACGCCGGTGATTAAAGCATGGGGTCGCACCGGTACAGGTACCTGCCGTCTCTTTCCCGTCCAAACACACGCCGCGGTGTTTGCATCCGTCTGAACGGCCATCTGTAAATAACCGATTTCAGATGTTTCTTCAACTCCATATGTCTTGGGAGAGAGAGAGGGCCCATCAGGAAGTGTACATTTGACTGGGAAAACAGTCCACGTGTTTTTCCTTCTGGGGTGGGGAGTGACGACAGTTGAACGAGAATCACGCAAAATAGTGGCAGGGAGTTACGGTTTGGTGAAAACAGACTCAAAATTATAGGGTGAATGAGAGAAACGCAGCAAATTTGGGGCTGACCTGAAATCAGCTGCCTCTCATTGGCTATGAAAGTCACCTAGGGCACGAAGTTCAAACTGGTGTGAATGTGATTTGTAATTCAGTCAAGTGCGATTTTATTTTTCACTCATCTTGATAATATTAGTCTGCAAGGAACCAGACGAAACCATGGATCCTTTATCTAAGGGTAAAGAGCGTGATTATATTCGTTTGTTATTGCAGCAGTTGGTCAATTATCTTTTTATTGTTTCATCCCTGTTAATGAACTGTAGTCCATTTGGTATTCAGTTAATTTTAAATTAAAAAAAATATACCTTTGGTGTTTTGTTTTCCACTAATACAATGACAATGGCAGCCCCCCCCCCCACCATTGGGGTCTTCATGAAAGAGTGGAGCTGCGTCCAATTAATGTCCTTTTCATGCTTCTATAAGATTCTTCAGAATTGAAATTAAAGCTGTCAAAGTGTTAAATATAAGGAGTGTAATGATGGTCTCAGAGTCTGTATCAAACTGCTCACAAATCTTTCGTACTGCATGTGGTGCTGGATTCGCTGCAGATATTTGAATATTTGATTGAGATTCATTCTCATTTTCCGTTGTACCTGACGGTCCTCTGGCCTTCATTCGCCCCCCCCCCCCCCCCCCCCAGCTGCGTGCATTACTCCTGCGAGGCTCTCGATTGTGTCGAGCTGCTGGTGCGAAACGCCGCTGTGCAGTGTGCCGGTCTGAAGAACTTCAATGGCGCCCGCTGCACCGTCTCCTGCGACCGCGGCTACGTGCTCCAGATCCACCGGGACGATGACATCATCAAAACCCAGGTATGGCCGTTGCGGCAAGGTGTGGCTGACTGGACTTCTGTACAGCTCGCTCGCGCGCTAGGGTCTGCCACACTCACACAACGCACTGACAGACGCGCGCCCATGTCATCCAGTACCCCCCCCCCTTCCCCCACACACACACACACACACACACACACACACACACACACACACAAACAGGCCAGCACGACAACCCGTTCCCAAAGGGAAAGCCGCATTAAGTGTTTATTACATCCAAAGGGCATAGCGACTGACCCGCACAGTAGTAAAGGAATTAGCACATGAGCCTGACGTGCTGGTAAATGCTTTCATCATGGGCTCTGGAACCTACTGGAGCTACTGGTTTAGATGAACGCAGTAAGTCACTCCCAAAAAAAACAAGCAGAAAATAGGCTTGGAATGATATGGAAGGGAATTGTTGTCATGTCCGTTCTGTTCTTTCACACATTCTAAGCATCAATTCAATAAAATCACCAGCCACCAATTTGGACTAACAGTCACTGGTGTTATCGGTAAACATCTATAAAAGTGTTGTTTTTTTTTTTTTTCTTTTTTCCCCACTCTAGCGGGAAGTAGTGAGTGATAGAGAGAGTTACTGTTGTGCAGGAATCTGTCTTTCTTTTTATCTTTACGGATGTGCGACATGGATTCGCTTCTGGTAATTCAAATTCCCTGAACCATTATTTTTTCTTTTTTTTTTTTTTTTTCTCCGAGTTGCAGCACAAAGCGCAATGCAATGCTATATCTCATTACGTTATAAGGTTACCTTCTCGTCTCCCCGGTGGTGGAGCAGGCAGGACGATTGTATCTTCGGAGACGGCCGGTCCGGCTCGCCCCGCCCGCGTCCGTTTTCGGCATGAGTGTTCGGGAGGCGTAGTGGGCAAGCGGGCATGTCAAAGGCGTGTCGCCGTTCCTCCATATCCTAGGAGATGATGTCAGCAGGTCAGGTCCATCGAGTTCATCCTCTAGGGGGCGGCATTTGGTCTCTGGCCCCGTGGCCCCCTAGCAATGACAGAGACACCTTTCAGCAAGCAGGCCCTGGCTGTCATACTATCCGCGACAGATTCCTGTGTGAAAAATCAATATATTATGAACAATAAGCCATCTCTATGCAGAGATACTGCGTTGGTGATAATGTGTCATGCCCCCAGCTCCCCACCCCCTGCATCTGTTTGCGGAGATCAAATTTAGTGAAGATGTTTGGGCGGGTGACATTTGAGCGTTTGAGGAAAATGTAGGGGGAGGTGAATTATAGGAGATAGGAAAATGGCTATGGAGATCGGCCGAGGAACAGCTAGCCTGAAGCGGTCTGAGGAAGACATCAGTCTCGGAGCAGCTCTGCAGCTCACTAACCTGAGGTAACCTGCCGCTCTCTATATCTAATAAAAAAGGAGATGCATCCAAGTTTCTGCATGATAATAGATTGGTGGACAGATTGTTTAGCGTCGGGTGAGATTCTCTGACAGCTTTTCGATGGGAAACATTTGGCTTTCAGGTTGAAATTCATAACCATCCCCCCCTCCCCATTTTAAATTCTCCGTGTGTCTTTATTTTGGCCATCATTCAGACACATGTTCAGCCCCCTCAGCTAGAAAGACATTGCGGCATATTGTAATTCCGGGTTTTCCTGCTGGGGCCGCGATTGGAATCCCAACCATTCGGTTGTCCCGGCTGAGCCGTTAGCGTTGCGCTTAAAGAATGCCGAAGAGAGTTTGATTAGTTTGCGAAATACCTCACCCACTCAGTAAGACAAGGAGATCTCTCTTCTGGACAGCACAATAAAACACCAGAGTACATGTGGTGAAGCTAAAAATGGAGCGTAATGGAGTTCATCAGCCAGTGATAGCTAGGAACTAGAGATCAAAGCCTATCGATTCGGGTGGGACCAAGTGGCATCGAGTTGTTTTCCTTGTCTCGCATTTTAGGGGCAGGTTGATGAGCCTGTGCTAGTTATGAATGGGATTAACAAACTGTTGACTTTCGGGCCAGGTGATGCAGCATAGTAAGTGGATTGGGCTCTGTTGCATGTGTAGCTCGTGAGAATTTTACTTACACAAAAATGTTCTGAGGGCAGGAACAGAAATGATTGGTTCAGAATGATAAGCAATCAGATTGTAGAGAGGGTGGTCCAAGCAACTAGAAGAGGTGGGACCAATACATCTGATTGGTTGGTCCCGCCTCCTCTAAGTAAAACTCCCATGAGCCATGAGTAACACCAGTTGAACCGAGATACTCCCCTGACAATGGTGCTCATTGCCTTTGGCATGTTTTCCTGGACAGGATACGGTCCTCTGCACGGCACAATGACACATCGTGTGACAACAGTTGACATATGGAATCACTGAAATGTGAGAATTATACTTCTGCATGCCAAAAAGGAAAGACAATTCATTTTGGTTCCTTCACAATAAACACCCCCCCCCCATGATTACACGGTTCTACAGTGTCTCTGCATGTAGCTGCACTGGTAGATTTCAGTGCACTTTTTCTTTTACAGAAAGAATTGCTGTCTTATCAGCTCAGCCTGAATCACACCCCAGATATAATGAAACAAACACACCTTTGAGCGCTGAACACACATTCTAAGATGCAACAGTCAATTGCAAGTAGAGCCATTTAATTAAGAATCAACAGGCGTACAGGGCGATGGTTTCATCTGCAGCTGCTGTCGTGACTGTTAGTATAGCCGTTGTGCTTTTATCATTGACCTGGCTGATGTGCTTCAAATTTATTTGTAGTTTAAAATCTCTGGTGTTTTCTTTCCAGAAATTAGCTGTTTACAGTCCAATGTGTATCAAGTGAAGCATGTGCTAAGAATAATAATAATAATAATAATAAAAATCATTTCATCCTAAGCTGTGATGGATAGCGAATTATAGCTGATGAAATGGTGAGTCGGAATTACAGCGGTGTCTTCCTTCTTAGTGTTTTCTGTGTTTTTCATCTTGCAACAATTCATTTTGGCGCAGAACAGGGAACTAAAGAAAATAAATGCCTGTTTAATCGAAGACATTCATCTCCTGCAACGTTTCAGCTGGCATTTTCAGCCATGACTGCAATTCACATCCCGGCAACGTGAAAGAAAAGGAGGTGCTGTGTTCAATAAGCAGTTTCCTGAAATGAGAAAAAAGACAGGAAAACAGAAAATAAGCGGTTTGCAGCCACGTCTGGCCTGCATCTGTGTTACCTTCTCCGCTCTTTGCTTGCTTCTTTTCCTAAGAGGATAAAATACATTAAGTGAGCATCGTATTCCAGAAGGTTGGGTCTTGTCCACCATAAGAGAAGATTGTGGTTGGTCGTCACTGGGATCCGAGGATATGGAGCTATCAGATAGCTGAGATACCAGTTTATTTAACTTTATCATGATCTTCTTCTTCTATTATTATTATTATTATTATTATTATTATTGACCTTCTTGGCATGCACAATACCTATATGAACAGAATTTAGTTCGAGCGTTTTAAGATTTTTAATAGCTAAAATAATATATATGCATGTATGTGTATGTATGAGTTACCTTCACACAGTCCTAAGAGGAGCAGGGGTGTAGCTACAAATTCTGGACCCCCTGCCAAAATGCCACTTTGCCCCCTCCCCAGTTATATAATTCTGTCATTTTACATATTCGATGGCCCCTGTAAAGTTCTGGGCCTCCCCAATCTGCCAGGGCGTCCATGCACCTACTATGCCACCACTGGGAAACTTGGCATCTCTACATTGCACATAGAGTGTGAGTGTGGCGGGGTGTGCATGCTGTGCCAGGCTGGCATCCCATCCTGGCTGTTCCCATGCCTTGTGCCCTGTGCTTCCTGGGATAGGCTCCAGGCCCACCATGACCCTGAACTGGGTAAGCAGTTGGAACATGATTGGATAGATGCTTTCTTATTATACAGGCATGAGTTCATAGTTAGGCTCCATTAATATTCCCTTAATATCTATATCTTATGTCTATCAATTGGAACAAAACAGCAGTGTGCAGCCTATTGTCTAATTAAAACAACAGAAAGGCGATTTACATGACTGCAGGGATTGACATAACTGGTACGCAAGTACGCATTCACCTTTAAAAGTGATACGTGCAGCAATCGATTAATGTAACAGCGCAAATACGTACATATTTTATGTGCATTTGCGCCAATATGACAAGAAATTACCGTGCATTTTAACCTCTATACTGCAAATGAAGTACGAATTTGGCATATAAAGGTAAAAATGCACGATAATTTCTTGTCATATCAGCGCAAATGCACATAAAATACGTACGTATTCATGCTGGTACAACAATCGATTGCCGCACGTATCGCTTTTAAAGGTGAATGCGTACTTGTGTACCAGTTACATCAATCCCTGGTTATAGGAGAGGCAAGACATTAAGAACTTTACTGTAAGGTTCTTTTTATGTAACGAAATAGCACAGTACAGGTGCTGTATCTGTATCATGTATGCTTATTGTACCTGTCCATCACATATACTGTATACTATTACTGTACGTATACTGTATTACAAGTTAGATATGGACAGTGGGTCATTATACGGCTGGCAGCACTGGCCATTCTCCGGCACTTGTTACACTAAGCGAAATACCCGCTGACATCCTACTACGTCCGCTATCAGGCATCGCTCGATCGAACGTGACTCGATCAGGCGTAATGCAGCGTAAAACGGTATATTTACAATGTCACCTTGTCACCCACCCCACCCCCCCCAGTCGGACACCACGGTGACCATCACGTGCGCTGACGGGAAGTGGAACAAGCAGGTGTCCTGTGAGCCCGTGGACTGCGGCCTGCCCGATAAATACCACGTGCACCCAGCCATCTTCCAGTTCCCTGAGGGCACCACCTACGGCAAGCAATGCACCTTCCAGTGCAAGGAGCCTGCACAGCTTGTGGGTGAGTGGAACTTTGGGAAGGATTCCCACCACCGCAGTCCTCCGGGGACCTGGCCAGTCTCCCATCACTTAGGCACGCAATGAATTGCCATCGGGACTCGCACTGTCGCCGCGTCAGAACTGTGTGGGCCGAATTTGGGTTTCCAGTGGGACGGGTGTCTACCTGTTGCGTCATACGACGAAAAATCTTCAGGTGTGCTATCCTTCGGGGGCGATTCTAGGATTTTTCACGATGGGAGGCATAAGAGAGGCTATCTTGCTTCTTTAACTAGTCCTCTAGTCTTTCATGCTCTGTTGTTTACTTGCAGTTTTTGCAGTTTTCATTCCTTTTTTTCTGGGTCTGCCAGATGGAGACGATGGTTCTTCTGGAATATGACGTCCTGTTTCTGTTATGCACGGGTCCCCATTAGTAACATGGCATTAGTAATGTAATATGCCCTGCTCATTATTCACTATAACGTGATAACCGACTGCCCTACAGCTCAGCGATTCTAGGATTTTTTAAGGTGAGGGAGCATAAGAGGCACCATGTTTCATACAGAGGGGCCAACCTTATCATTACCCAATGATATTTGAATCAGTGAGTGACAGGGGAGGGGGCACTCCAGGGGCCAATCAGCTTTCAGTTGCCTCTGTGGCCCCGCCCCCGTATATGCCTGTGCTACACGGTTTGTGTGTCAGACGTTTTTAGCCAGGTTACATGGGTCTCTAAAGCTGTAGGGGTGAGGACCTGGATGTTGGTCTGAGAAGATAGCAAACACTGCAGGTTAACTGCTGACCTTGAAGGAAATTGCTGTTATCTCGTTATAAGCTGTTTGTGATTTATACTGTAAAACTGGTTAAAACTGCTTTGTTAGTACAAATCGGTAATATGAAATAATACCTTTGCCCCCCCAGGCATGAATAACACCCTTACATGCATGGAGGATGGGCTCTGGTCCTTCCCGGAGGCCCTGTGCCAGTTACGCTGCCCGGCGCCCCCGCCTGTGCCCCACGCCACACTGCAGACCAAGCGGTGCGCCACCAACGGCCTCAAAGTCGGCTCCCTCTGCAAGTACAAGTGTGAGCCGGGATACCATGTGGCCGGGCGGCCCAAGAGGTACGGAGGGTGGTGGTTAGCCGCATGTGTGCTAATGCTCCAGCAGCTTAGCGCACAGACAGGCCATGTTTTTGCTTCCTCCCAGATCCCAGTAGGGAGCAAAAATGTGGATGACTGTTGGTCCCCGAGGACCGAATTGGGAAACATTGGCTTAGCGACGTAAACTGCTTTTGAACATTAACGTCCATCTTTGTTAACACTGGGGCAGCTTCTACGCACAGCAGGTCGGTTTTAAACAAGCAAAAGGGGAAGAGAAACTCAAGTATAATCAACTTGAATTATCAACTGACTACCTGAGGTGCTTTGCAGTCGCTATGGAGGTACGCTGCCTCCTACTGGTGTGTACCATGAAACGACTATAGCACATATGCTGCGTATGACAGATGCTGCTGTCTGAATCAGACACTACCTGTCATGCAGGACGGCTAATGGATTAATTTAGTTAATCCAGTTTAGTACTAATTTCTCTAGCTGAGCTCATTTTAATATTTGCTCTCAGTACTGTTAGCAACGGTTAGCTAACGTTTAGTGATGGGTTAGTGTCAGTTAGTGATGGGGTAGCGACAGTTAGCGACGGTTAGCGCTGGCCAGATCTTGTGCACACTGTCCAGCCAGGGCCAGGCTCCTTCGTAAGCATGATCTCCGATCGCACATTCGAGCCCTTAACCGCCACGGTACTTGACGCCATGCATGGCGGTTGGAGCCCCAGGCGAGACCACGGCCTCGCGGTCGCACACAGAACCCGAGACATTACCCGCCCAGTTTTCCTCGAGCTGTTGAGAAGCCACACCATGCAAACAGCCCGTGTATCTCTCCGCCTGCGGCCCCCAGGATCGATGTCCGAATCGTATTAAGGAAAAAAAAAACATACCAGTAGCCTCAAAAATGAGCACTTTGGTTTCCTAACTAAGTGACAATGGAGATCCCATCATCGCTCTCCCCGGCTTCTCTACACACAACGTTTTCCAGGACACTATGTGAGCAGTCGCTGGACAAATTGAGGGCTGGTCTGACTACACTTTAGCCCGTTACGCTAGGCTCATCTGGTATCTTTATAAAAATCCCCCCATCTAGGTTATATATTTACATGTGCATACCAATGTTTATTTAGCACATGGTTTCATCCAAGCAACATACATTTTTGTGTGTGAAAGCAGGGTCAGAATCCCTGGGGGTTAAGGGTCTCAAGGGCCCAACTGTGAAATCACTCTGCCGATCTTGGGATTTGGACCGCTAACCTTCCCTCACCGGTTAAGCTGCACACTGCCCCTTGTGCTTGTGGTGTCTTCAGTGCTCTTCCTGTTTGACTTCCTCTGGAACGTCACGCATCCATCCATCCATCTTCTAACTACTTATACTGGTCGGGGTCGCGGGGGGGGGGGGGGCCGGGAGGCCTTCCCAGGCAGAACGGTGTCAAAAGTTGGGTTCGCCTCTGATGGGCTTCCAGTAAATGCCACATACAGCATTTAAAAGAAGTTACAAATGTGCTGTATCATCGAAAAGTGTACAGAAGCATCAGGCTGAGGGGAACCTGTGCTTTTGTTTGATATACTGGCATGTATCACAGGCTGGAGGTTAGAAAGGTTGAGCGGTGTTCAGTCTCCCCCATCCGGCTCCCCCCACAGACGGGCTTTCAAGCGGCAGTGTACGGAGGACGGCAGCTGGCTGGAAGGCTCGTGCGAGCCAGTCACCTGCGAGCCACCCCCGGCCATCTTCTACGGGGCCTACCAGTGCACCAACGGCTTCCACTTCGACAGCAACTGTTGGATCGACTGCGACGGCACCAGCAGCAGGGACAACCACACGGTGAGACTGCAGGCTCCATGCAAGCAGGTCTGTGCCTCGTACCTCCTCGCTCTGCCATTCTGCAGCTCTCCACTCTCACCTTTCCTCACCTTTTTTACTAGCCCTCCACCCTGCACCCCTCCGTCTTGAGGTTTTCATTCATTATTTTTTTTCTGGACCTGCTGGATGGTGGCGCCTTTGACGGTGGTTCTTCTGGGAATGTCTGTTGGGGAAGATGGTACCCCCTTCCGATTGTTGGCGGGGCTCCGTTAGTCATAGTAATATGATGTGCTTTAGTTTCATATACAGGCATGTATTACAGGCTGGAGGTTGGCGAGGTTGTGTGTAGGATATGTGTTGCTCATTAATCACAGTAACATGATAGCTGTGTGATTGCCCTATAACCCTATCAATGACTCTAGGATTTTTTAATGTAGGGGCCATAAGAGGGCCATAATTTATACATAGTGGCCAACCTTATTATTAGCCAATGATATGTTTCGAATATGTGAGTGACAGAGGAGGGGGCTCTCGTTGGACCAATCAGCTTTCATCTGGAGCCAGTGCCCCTGGGACCTCGCCCCTGTATATGCCCCAGATCCCCACAGAAACCTGAAATGTTTACCGGAGGAACCCAAGCGTTGGTGTTCTGACTGGCAAGGAGTCGTGAGTTTGGCTAGCTACCGGCTTCGGTGTTTGCCCCAGGGGGGAGTTTACATTGGCTTACGCAACCATATTCATCGAAATGCCCAGGGCTTGTGGATAGGAGACTTTGATTGATTATGTGCATTTCTTACGAACTCAGCTAGTTCTACCTAATATCTGTCTAAGTCTGTTCATTTCGAAACTGAGATGTTTTTTTTCTTGTGGAAAGACGGATCCTTTCTCTTTAGCTAAGCCGCCTCACTGCAAAGGTTATGCAAAGTCTCCCTGGTAATTGCGTAAGAATCTTTTTTGGTGTGGAAAGGTATGTCTGGTGCACATAGGGTATGATGAGTCACTGCTGGTGCCCATGAGGTTTTACGTAAAGGCCAAGGGCCAACATGGCCATTAAAGAGCCAGAACCTCTGGGTTTAGCCCACTGTTGTTCTGCCTTGCTGTGAATTTGCCCCAATGAACATGGCTTCCCTTTTGCTGCGGGGCCAGAACAAAGGAAGAGTGCGGCGTATTAAAAGAAATTAAGTGATTCGTCCTTTTTGGAACCGTTATAATGTACCCCCCCCCCCCTTTTTAAGTCGCAACAATAAATTTCAGATTGTTGCATCAGTGTGACTTTTAATCCCCACGGCGGCCAGCACTTCTCTCTCCCTGGCTCCCGTTCAAAGTATTTGACACAACAAATACCTCAAACGTACAAGATGCACCGCAGAAGCAGGGAGCAACCGTCAGAGCGAGTTCCCCGTCAACGGGACGGCACGCTTTAAACGCACGCCAGCGCTTTGTTAATTAAAAGGTTTCGGGATTCCATTGCGATGATAAACGAATTCAATCCCAGGGCTGCAGTCCCTCCATAAACCGCATTAAACGTGTCGGCAATGAGCGATGATTCTGACGTTCCGCTGGCACATGTGACGGACGGCTGTGTGAAGGATTCATTGCTTGTTTGTTTTGTCTTTTTTTCTTATTGTTTTGGTTTTAGGGCCCAAGCAGCAACATCATCCGATGCAAGAAAGACGGAAATTGGACGGGATCTTTCAAACTCTGCCCTCAAGTTAAAGGACAGTGTTCTCTCCCGCAGAACCTCAACCCTAACGTTCGTGTCAGCTGTAAAAAGGGCCACGGAATAGGTTAGTTGGAACACGCTAGAATTCACCTTAGTTTGCTCCCACTATTCAGTTACATAAATATATAAGATAATCGGCCACTTATGTTTTGTTTTCCAGTAATATTTGAATAGAAAAATGTTTTTCTTTGGTAAGGAGTTGGCCGTGAGGTTATGAATGGCACGTTGACTGGGGCAACTGCAAATCTGTCATAGAAATTGCTAATGCTAACATTTGCGTTCGCTGGCATTGGTTCGCATTCGGATTTGGCCTGAGCAGCTTCACTCTGGCATTCCTGCACATCAAAGGCTGCTAAGTTTTCTCGCCCACTCCCCGCCCTCGCCCCCAAACCGCCCCCAACCTCACCGATCCCCCTCCCTAAACTCCTTGGCACTGAGACACACGTACACCTTTGTGCATACGAAGGTGGCGCTCTCCTGCCACTCGCAGGGGGTCTCGGTGGGACGTGTCCCATGTGTGGGCCAATCAGTATGCACGCACACACGCGTGTGGTGAAGCTCAGCTCAAGCGATCTCAGAATCGCCATTTACTTCATAGGCCATTTATTTTTTCCTTTTTTTTCCTTACTGTCAAGTAATAATATCCAAGCTTTAAATATATAGTAACGGGAAGGTCAGTTACAACCTAAATCATTCTCGTAAATGATGCAGCATTTGCCCACAGTCCAAATTAATTAAGATAACATCTATTGATTCCTGGTCTGACTCAACCCACCTCTGCAAGACAAATATAATAATGCTAATATCATAACATTAGTAGTCTTACCAATAAATTAATTTGGCAGTGGAATTACAAAAAAATGAATTTCAGATTAAGGCGGCTGGATTTACTGGATGTTATCACTCCTATAGACACGGTAAAGGTAATATTTGTTTTTTTTTTCCATAGGGGAGGAGTGCGAGCTAACGTGCAAGGACAGCAACAGCAACGTGGTCATCCTGCATGGCAATGTGACGACTGACCTCATCATGCGGCAACACTGGACAAACCCTCCCAAAGTCAAGGTTGGTTCCCTGCCGCCGCCGCACAAGCTGCCCCCCCTCTACATTAATTGTGCTTGTTTAGCATATCCATGTGTTCAAAATGGTCAGCATTCGAGTGGCAAAATGCAAGCCAGGGGTCTTGTAAGCTTAACTGTGATAAAACAGGTGGATGCTGGGTATTTTTTGGGTAGGAAGTTGGGTTTGTGTCACCTCTAAGGAGCTGGGTATATAAAAGAGGACCGTGGTTTTCCAGACACCTGGGTAAGAGGCAGTCGGATGTAGCATTGACCGTAAAGATCACGATGGGGTAATAAAGTTGAAAGTACAGTGGCTTTGTGGCTCATTTAAACTGGGGCGGGGGCTGTTTGTACAATGCATGCAAAAAAAGTACCTTCCGCGCATCCATTCGGCTCGGCTCAGGAGACGGGGGGGAGCAAGGGGGCAGATGCAAGGTGGTTCCCCCCCGCCCCCACCCCCCCAGACTTGCTGCAATGTGTAACTACCCATGTCACAATCAATTACCATTTATTACATGTTCAGCCCACTGCTTGTAATTATCCTGCATTGGAAAAATGGGAGAAGATTAATGTAATCTTTGAAGTCATCTGAACCACAATGTCACGAGGTCCAAGTCATAAAAGTTAATAAACAACACTTTCTCAGTAATTACTGTAATTCTGGAAATAACAGCATTGCAACCATCACTAATGCCTTATGATTTAGGTAGGCCTGTCAAAGATATTTTTTTATTGCTGTGCTGATTATTCAGCTGCCTGTTTTTTGTTTTTTTTTTTCTTTTTGATTTTTTTTTTTTTTTTTGAGGGGGGGCAGTGAGGGGTAGTCACTTGTTTAACGGAGTATGCAAGGAGCCAGAGGGTAAGCTCCCAGACCATGCACAGTCAGCGGTCCATGGACGAAAAATAAATAAATAACGGCATAAATTAGCAATCCGATCTATGATTTATTTTCAAAGGTAACTGGAGTCCAGAGACAGAGAAGGAAAAACGGAGTGGGGGGGGTGGGTGTGGGGGAAATGGGACACTAAATCGATGAGGTTAAAATGTCCCAGAGGGTTGGCTTGAAATCGATCGCACTTCTGTTCGTTCAGCAGCTTGTACTTGGCCCATGTTAATTGATGCACGTGAATTCAGAAGCACCTGTTTCACTTGACTTCAACACAAGGACAATCACCCGTACCCCACGCCACCCCCCCCCCCCCATTAAAAAAATGGGCCCTCCCTTTCAGCCAAACTATGTTCCATTAGTTACCATAGCTAATACATCAAGCACAGGCGTTTCCCAAATAGTGCAGGGCTGTCCGTGTCGCTAACCAGCATTATTAGGTGCTGTAAGGTGGGACATCACAGCCAATTAAAGTTTTGGAATATAATTGGATTGGTCTGGGTTGTGGACCCAATAATATATGCTTTCATGGGGCCCAAAATCTCTAGCAGCCACCATTGCTAAGGCTACGGTTAGCTATGCTGATGCTACAACAGCCAACATCTAGGCTATGTCACAGCTAATCAATCTGACCAGCCCCTCTATGGTCACTACTAGTATTAATAAACACAACTAATTATAACCACAAATGTTGCTATAACAGCGGCTATCGAGCAAATAAAGGCTAATGCTAAGTTTGCAATTAAGGTTAATAATTAAAGTATGAATGAAAAATTACGCAAAAAATCCACTTGCAAGCAGTCACCCTCGACAATGTTTATGAGGTGTCACCTGACTGTCGACAGGCAATAATGGCGGTCGTACTCTGCTGCGGTGACTGATGAGCGTCGTTAGGTTTCTCGCACGCGGACAGCCTGGAGCAATCCGGACGATTCCCCGCATCTCTGCTCCCCGCTACCATTGCCGAGGTTCCCCTCAGACGCTCTTTAATTTTCTCGCCTGATCTTGCCCTGCCCTTTTTGGTTCTCTGTTTTTTTTTTTCCGCATTGATTTGCTGATGAGACTGTAATACAAAATACCTTATAGCTGACATAACGAGCAGTGACTCGTATACCAGGGACACCTGAGCTGCAAAAATATTGTAGAGGTCAAGCAGCCCTTTGCTGTGGTGGGGGGTGGGGGAAGGTTAGGGGGTGTGTTTACTTCTTTCCTCCACATCACGAAATCAAAGTAGGAGGCACAGGCCTGTGGGTGTCTGGTTCATGGGACACCCCCTGTGCACCACTTTCCTCATTAATATCCTTAATCCTGTTTCGTCCCAGTGATGCAAACCTACTTGTTAAAGTAGCAAGTTGTGGTCCTATTCAGGTAGTTCTCAATTGCTGTAAGCAATCCGTTAAACAAACACTTATGCAAGTCGGATTTCACATAAGTCTGATTATCCATCCCGTACTGGTCAAGACACCTTATACCAAAAAAACACAAAAATAAACTAGTAATACGTACTAAAGAACCCATAGATGAAAATACAAAGTGTAAATTTACTTTTGTATTAGCATATCTGTACATTCTGTGCACCATGGATATATTTTTTGCATCAGTACAGATTTGCTTAAGTTGGTTTCACATAAGTCGAGAGCTGCCTGTATGTTTATCTTAGATGGGATGTCAAAACATTACAGAGCATACATGCACACATTTTACACATTCATTTCTCTGTGGGGACTTTCCATTCATTTCTATGGGCATAATCCTAATCCTAACTATGACAATCTTAACTGTTACCCAGCCATAACCTTAACCGTAAGTAACCAAACAAAATGCAAGACTTTTGGCTACTGAAGTTTTTTGATTGCATTCATGGACTTTTTATGAAATTTCTTGTGGGGACTGGAAAAATATCCACACAAGGTCAAAATAACAGGTTTTTGTCACATTGTGGAGACATTTGGTCCCCATAATGTAATAATTAACATGATTTCTTTCTCTCTTTCAGACACACACACACACACACACACAGAAAACTAGGTCAGGAGTTGAACAATGCAAGACCATTTCACTAGCTACTATGACACCTGGAACAAAATTGCAGTTTGAGCCAAATGCAGGCTGAAAAACACCTGCAAGTGGGCACAGAAAAAACATGTGTACTCGTCTGGGAGGTTTTGACAGTGGCAGGCTGGGATCGAGGCACGTATTATATGCCGTGTGGCTGGAAGGTCTCGCAAAAGAGAGCAGCAGCTATGATGATGCTGTGAAGTCGTCTGGTTTTGTCAGCTGAAGCTTTAGCTGTTAAGGCAGGTAATAAAAACAAATAGTCCAGTGTGGGTTGTTTAAATTAGTTCTCATGTAAACAAGCAGACACTAGATACCAATTGTATGCCCATGTGTACGTGCACGTGTGTGCGCATGCAGGATCGCACGCTTCACTCTGGGACTCACCTGCGCTACCCAGCCGACACCAAAGGTTTCAGCTTTCGCGGAAATGTCAGAAATGCTTGTGTTTGTGTTTTCCTTCCCCACCTTCGCTCCCGCTAACTCACCCCACCCACTAGTCCTTATGCCTCTTAAAATACCCCTTGTCATTACCTGATGAGGCCAGGAGGTTAAGGCCCTTGTAGCTGAGAAGGACTAAATCGGTCACTTCTCCCACAGGTCAGGAATCCATGACCAGGTTCACGCAGAATAACAGGCTTAGGGGTAGTTGAGGACGTTCAGACGTTCAGTTCAGACTGACTTTCCTTGAAGCACTTCTGCAATTTGTCAGAAGTCACGCGTACAGGTCCTCCTCCCGACTTGACGGAAGCTCTTCTCAGGTTCATAGAAGCGGCTCAGTTCGAGCTTAAAAGCAAAAAGACACAAAATCAGGAGCAAATAACGGCGAAATGATACCTGGATGACTGCAATGAAAGAATGCTGAAACTGTATTAGTGCGAAAGAAGCAGATGATGGTCAAAATCATGAGTCCATCGTGAGTCCAGGTGTCATCAACTCTCAGTTGATTAAAAATTAATTTATGAAGCTTCTATCATCAGTTGTAGTGCAAATCCTTATCTGTCTACCTGGCTGCCAGAGAATCTATTAGTGGCAGCGCAACTGGAGCAGGATACGGGTTTATATCTCTGCAAACGCACCTTTCATCGCAGACTTCTCAGGCGGCTCGGTTTTTGTCCCCCCCCCCCCCATGTGACCTCCTGTCCGCTTTCTGAGCTGTGCTAGAAAAACACATGGAGTAGCAATTGGAGAAGTAGCCTGTTGGCCGTAGGCTCGCCGGACACATCCGGAGTGGGCAGCTCGCGCTCAGATCCCCTCTGCCAATGGCAACAATGCTATATTGGATGTTTTGTGTGCCCGTGTGTGTTTGCACTGAGGCCGTGTTTGTTTTTGCCCGTCCACACAGAGCATTGTTTGTACCATGGGCCTGCGGTGGTACCCTCACCCAGAATACCTGCACTGCATCAAAGGCTGCGAGGTAAGGCTTTCCATGCGAGACGGAGGTGCCTTACCAGGGGCGGGAAGAGGGCAAGAGGCAAGCGGCCGGGCAAAAAAACAATATTAGCTCTGTAATTAGCAGGAAAGAGGTAAACACTGAGCTACCGATAGGACCTGTATCCTGGATGGTGATCACTCTCGACCTCGTCCTTTGAAGAGAGGGAGGGAAACGTTCCTGACTCCGTACCGATGCGCCATCACAGCTGTGTGTTTGCCACAAACTGGTAAACAGGAGCTTATTATGGGGGTCATCATCCAGTCATGGGGCAAAAACAGGCAGCATTTTAAACATGAATTAATTAGATTAGATTCAACTTCACTGTCATGACGCTGAGTACAGGTACAGAGCCAGTGAAATGCATTTAGGATCTAACCAGGTACAAATAAAATGTATACAAATACAATAAACTATAAATACATTATAGCTGAATTATGAATGCAGTGGTAAGATATGGTTCTGCGCAAAATATGCTTAGGCAGTCCATAGAATAAGGTTTAGACTGGAACTGCAGATGGTTGTGATGGACAATGATTCTGCCAGGAAATATGACAAGATGCAGTGAAACTGGTATGCCCTGTGACCCAGACCTGGAGAAGTTGCTAGAACATGTACAGTATGGGTGGTTGTAGGGGTCTTGTGCAACCACCAATTGACCAAATTGCGATAAATCTCCGGAATGCCAGCTTGGTGTAAAACGGGGTTATTATGCTAATCATTATCATCTGCCCTCCAGAAAGAGCAGCCTAGTCTAGATTATGAAGAACTCTGGTTATTCCCTCTGGTTTTGGTAAATCAGCAAGTGCCAAACTGAAGATGGAGTGTCTCTACTGAGGCCTTCTCATTCTCATTGGCTGGAAGGAGATGTGGTATTGCCTTCCGACCCACACCCTTTGACCTCTCCTATGGTTCTAAAGCATGAGAAGGCTTCATCTCCAGGGTAACAGCACTATTACAATCCATGCTGAATGAACATGCCTAAATACTGTGGTTTGTCAGGGTTAAGGCAGGAATCACGCAGATGCACACAACAGCCTATATCCATGATTGCTGGCATGGTAACTATAGAATGACCCCAGGGACCCATGTTTAAATTTAATAGTTCTTCAGTTTTCTTATTAAACCGTCGGCTTCCCCAGTCCCCTGAACTTGAACGGCTCCATTTTTCCAGGGAAAAAGGATCGGGAAAGACACAAGCTGTGAGAATTCACTTTGACGCTCTGTTTCCATCCGCATGGGGTTCTGAAGAAATGGAGAGCGATCTTTATCAATATGTAGCACTGAACGCACATGTGAGAGATTAATCATACAGAGCCGAGCCCACAGTGGAAGCATGGCACCACCGTAGACTTGAAGAGGCGACCGCACAAACGTCTTAGGACTGTAGAGGTCAGGAGGTAAAGGGTAAGGTGAGAATTATCCCTACATACCGAGGATTATTCCCACATACAGAGAGGGGTACTCTGCGGCGAAGGAGAGCGAACGGACTGCAGGTTACCGCTTCTCGATGACAGAGGACCCTGACCGCTGCCACAGTACTTCAGTGATGATTCTAAAAATAACCTGCAACTAATAGAAAGAGTGGAAAGAGGAAAGACTCAGTAAATATGAGAACTTGGGACACAGGAAGTAGTGGTGCACCGATGTGGAAATTTTGGTCGATATCGATAGCCAATATATTTTTGTCTAATATTACTGACACCGATAACCGATACCAATAACTGGCTAACCTCTGAGCTCCACAAAGCTGTAGTGAAACTGATGTTGGTAAAATTATTCTTTAGATCCCATGAATATATGTAGCAACCACAGGCATTGAGACATCAGTGAAGTAGCATTGACTTGGGAGACTGTAGCGGGGTTCTAAGTGATTAATGATCCAACAAAATTCCTCGTCCTCAACTATGGAGAATAGCTATTTTCGTAGTTACACCTTTAGCTCTGGAGCTGCTAACTTTCAATATTCGCTGAAGTCAAAATATCAACAGCCAATATCAACCAAGATTGAAAAACCGGGCAGATGAATTGATTTTTAACGAACACCAGCCGATACCGATATCTTAACTGATATATTGTACCTCTGTAACAAGAAGGTTAATCAGTAATTTACTTAGTGACAGATGTAAATTTACAATATTATGCTTATTAAATGGGAAATACTGTTATTAGTAGTATATTGATGTCTTGATTTGTATTTTCATAAGCTTGGTTATAGTGTAGCCCCAATAAATAAATAAATGCTAGCTAAACCAACAATCGCTGCTAATTCAAATAGCATGTGCATGTGTGTTGGTTAAAATGATCTTTTGTCCTCCTACAGCCCTTCATGGGAGACAACTATTGTGATGCCATTAACAACCGCGCCTTCTGCAACTACGACGGAGGAGACTGCTGCCAGTCCACGGTGAAGACGAAGAAGGTCAGTGGCTGGCAGGTCTATTCAGCAATATGCCTGCGTAAAAAATACCTGAGCCTTGTGCATTGCTCTGGGGAGGGGGGGGGGCAGGGGCAGCACTGGAATGGGGGAAGGGGTTTCGCTCAGTGAGAGGTTTATTTAAACATTTATTTTTGTGACTTCTGATCTTAAAACAACTTCCCATGTCCTGTGAATGAAACGCATGAAGACGTTCACGTTACTCCCTCCAGAGGTCTGCAGTGCCCCCATGCTGATATTTGAACCTGCAGCCTCAGGCACATAGATTTTCGTGCCTTAGACCAGTGTTTCCCAGCCCCGTCCTCAGGGACTTCCCAACGGTCCATGTTTTTGCTTCCTCCCAGTTCCCGGTAGGGAGCAAATTTGTGGACTGTCTGGTAGGGAGCTGGGAAAGACCAAAAACATAGACTGTCTGGGGTTCTTTACGGACCGGGTTGGGAAGCACTGCCTTAAAACACCTACTAACCCTGGGGTGGGCAATCTTACCCAGAACGGGTAGTTGTGTATTCGGGTTTTTGCTGTAACTCCCTAATTAGTCTACTAATTAGAGGATGATTGGCTGAAGAGGCCTCACTCCTGGGTTTGAACAGCTGGCCTAAAGGTTATCCCAAAAACCTGCATACACACCGGCCCTTTGGCCACCCCTGGTCTAGCTGATTGAAGTTTGCACAAAATGTAAGATGCTACAGTGCTAACTGCTAGTGCTAGCCGCTAGCACTAGCTGCTAACTCTTCATTTATGGATTTTTTTTTAAGCACCATGGTTAGAGTCAGAGGCTTCCTGTTTCATTTTTATTTTTTCACTTATAGGATGATTGATCGATCCCGAGGCCGCGGTCTTCGGACACAGGCTACGTCTGTGAGGATAAATGTTTTACTGCTTATGGAATCATCTGGGAGATAGAAGGGGTTTAACCTATGACAGGATTACTGATTTAGGTCTTTCTATTTTTGAATGTTTTTAAAAATTTTAATGCAATTTTCAAAGGAAGAAAGATTAGAAGAAGGTGGCAAGGGGGTGATTGTGTTTGTATATTTGCGTTTCTGGTATTGGAGTTGGTGCCACTTTCCCATCTCTCTCTATCTAACGGGGGGGGGGGTGCATTCTTTGACCTTTATTATATGGCGTTGCCTGCCTGCACCCACAGAGCATTCAGGCCCCTTTCCTTGCCATTTCTCCTCTTGATGGAGTTGGACTAACATGAGCCAAGGCAGATAACATGCTAACATTCTTGTCTCCAGGGGATTTATCCCTTTTGCAAAGTGTGCAGTTTTTCTTTGTTTTGTTTTATTTTTCCTAGCATTAGCAGTGGAATTGGGTGTTGGAGGGGTGGTGCCGGCTTGTACCACCCATGCACTTCTACCAAAGGGGTTCGCGGATCACGGTGTGGGAAAAAAAGGGATGAGCAAAAAAAAATAAATGGCGAGAGGCAGAAACTTTCTGCTTGAGACATTTTGGCCTGGATTTACAATGACTTTGCTCAAATTATAGTAGTTGAGTAATTAATAACAAGTAGGTGCTGGATAGTAAGGAGAGTGGCTGAGGGTCTTCAGGTAGGAAACGGCGGATTCAAACAACGGGCCAGACTCTGCATCAGCGTCACTCGCCGCAGGCTCTTGGTCGTTCTGTTGACAGTGTGCGGTGACGGGCTGTAATTAGGACTCGTGTCCTCCCGTCTGCTCGTTCGTGCTGCTGGTGGGGGAGGGGGGGTTCCCTCTACCCAGGCAGGTAGGTGGGCGCCCCTTCTCTTCCTGTCTCCAATTATACTCTGCTTTACGGCCAGGAAATTGCTCTCAGTGTCTGCCAGCAACATTCTCTGCTCCAGGCAGCTCATTGCCTGAACCCCCCCCCAACACCGTCAGCGCCACCCCCTCTATCCGTCTGTTCATCTCTCTCTATCTTTCCATGCATTTTATTCCCCTGTCTGCCCTCCCTTTGTTCCCTTTGTTCCACTGCTGACGATTCCATCGATAATGACGTTTTGAATTGGGGGAAAAAAAAAATCCCCCTCTGCCCTTAGAGCGGAGAGCAGGAATCAGATCTTGTATTATCTAGTTCCCCGGTGCATCATAGTTTATGCTGAAGCCCTCATCAACTGGCCAGGTCGGGAACTCAGCATGGGTAGCTTTTGCCGGACGCCACACCGTTGGCCCAGGGCATGTCAGCGCTTCTGCATCGCAGGAGACGTCGCCCAGGCCGCCCACTCTGACAGGCCGCTGCTCTGCTCCGCAGATGCTGGCTCGCATTTCAGAGCCCTCTTATGATCTCAGTGACTGCTGTAGGGCTGCTTGTGTTTTGGCCAGAGCAAGAGAGATTCCAACGCTTCAATCAGGGAAAACAAAGCCAAAGACAGCATTTGATGCTGGAGACCAAAGTCATTACTGTCTAGCTGTGAAAAAGGGTACGATCCATTTATTGGGAATGCCATTCATTTACTTTGTGTGTTCCTTAGCATAAGAAGGGTCACCCTTCTCAGAACGTCTCTCTTTTACCTTTTTAGCTACTTAGCATTAGCGGCACTTCCTTAGCACCGTTGCTAAGCTACCTCTCCAAAGCCGCCCAGCTTGCTGCCTTCTGCAGAATTCAGATCATAACAAAGGGACTCATAAAGACAGTATGAAGGCAGAAGCGGTGTTCAGCCAGGCGTAACGAAAGCAGTCGCACCTCAGACACGCTGTGAATGGCCTTCGGTCCCCCGGCCTGGTAAAGGAAGCCGTAAACGGTGTTGCCGTCTGAGAAAGCGTGAAGTAGTGTTATAGGTGTTTCCGTGGTATAGGTCAGGGGGACTCAGGCACACAGGCAGATCCTCAGTGTTTTGTGAGCAGGGAGCGCCAAGGCCATTGAAACTTTGCGGGGAATGGTAGGACCTGGTAGAGCGCGAATATAGCATTGTTTGGAGATTGACATTGAATCCTGGGGTCTAGCCAGCCTGTAGAAGGTCTAGTTGGTTCCACAGTTGAGATCCAACCTAACATATTCACCCGAGAGTTGGGATGTCCTCACGCTCTCCGTGTTCCCATACCCACTCCGGACTCAGAAACTAAAACTTCGTGTGGAGCCCCCTCTGCAAAATCCATCCTGTGTCATCAATCTTTCTTAATCTTCAGACGGTTTCTCTTCACTTCTCATGGGATGAGGCACACCCACGCATGCAGAGTTTGCGTCTACTGCAAAAAAAAAAGCAGAAAAAAAAAACTCCCATCTATTAGAAAACCACTCATCACACTGACTTTGTGCAGAACCCAAGACCATGATAAAATGCTCTAATAATTTTTTGGTGATATCACCCCAAATCCATATTGCGGAATAACGAAATAAAATTTGACCGCCCATGGAAAGAGGACTGTCACTGGAGACGGTGAACCTGAACAACGTTCGCTAACGGTGACACGCAGCTGAGTTTAATCAACCCGACTCCTCTACATGATCGCTTAGGAACAACAGATAAATTGCACAGTGCTGAAAATCATCTGGTTGCAGAATTGTAATAATTTCCAACTCTGGAGCCAATTTAAAATCGATATACACCAGGATTTGGTAACGTGACAATTCCAAACCTCTTGGAGGGACCTTCAGATCAAAGGGAAGGCATCGGATTTCAGGAAACGATCCCTGCGGATATGCACATGCATGTTCCATGTGCTCCTATAGATCTGAGTATAGATGTATCCATCAGGATGTAGGTGCAGCCGTATGAGCATAGATGTATTCATTGAGGTCTAGGCGTACAAGCGGTGCAGACAGATTCCGATCCACTGGCCACTTCACATCGACATCTCTGGAGTTTAAGAGAGCGAATCTGAAAATGATTGATGTCCCTCGGAGTCGAACATGTAATGGGGGGGGGGGGGCTCCATAACACGGAACACATTTCTCTGCTGAAGATGGAGAACGGCAGGGGAAAGAGATAAGGATTATCTCCCCAGCGTAGTAACTGAGGACTCAAGCAAAGACCAAAATGTAATTGTCCGGCACAAGAATGTTTCACCGTGTGGCGATATTGTTATTTTTGGATCCCGGGCTGAACTGTAGAGTGGAGACGTGTCCATTGTTATCGTCATTGTCCTTGCGGTTCCACAAAGCGATTCCTGTTAAATGTATCCGAGGAAAGTCCAGTGACGGCCGAGCACATGCCGTGACTTTTCACACGCCTGCCAGCCATTACTGAGGTGGGGGGCAGGGGAGGCGTAGGGGAGCGAGGGGACAGGCCCCGATAAAGACCACAGACGGGGAGGGCTGTCCTAGCGGCTGCCTGTTCCGTAATACTAAGCAGTAATGTGGAACACGCTGTAACTGTCTACATCCTTATTATCTGTATTTTTGGTTTCTCAGGAGGTTTTTGTGCTCCGAAGGAGCTACCGACATTGTAATGTTGGAAACATACGGGTTGAGATATTTGCTAAAGTGACTTGTGCTAAGGGCTGTTCCAGAGAGAGCACCCTAGTGTGGATGGATGGGTGCGGCCCTATGTATGCCACCCAATGCCAGTGTCCCGGCTGTAAAGCAGCCCTGCATCTCCTGCCCTTTCTACGTTCTCACAAGTGCATGTTTGTGTTTTTTCTCCCCCCCCCCCCCCCGCCCCGCCCCACCCCGCCACCGTGCCCTGGCTGAAAAGGCACCTTCATTCCTCGCATTCACCCGTCCTGCTCCTACGTGACCCCTGCTATTCCCCAGAAAAAAATGCCCTCCTCCGCCAGACCTGCCATTCCCCGCCCAAGCCCCGCCGTTACACGGTTCATGTGTCACTTCTGAGAAAAGGTCACACGCCCCCCCACAAGTCTGACTGAATTTTCCATTTTATGCTTGCCGTTCCCCCTTCCCCACTTTCTCCTGGCGGCCGAAATGCTATTTTAAAGCCTTTTGAAATTCTGGCAATTTCCAGGGGTGATACAAAGGCTGGCTGAAATCTTTACTCCAACGGACAGCAGAAGGGGATGCCGGGCAGTGGAACCAGGCCCCGGGAACCTTCCGCTTGGGACGAGGCCTTGTCTTGTCGCCCATTCCAGAAACTTGTTCCTGTGCCTCTGCTCCCCACGTGTAGTGGAGTCCGATTCCTGGAAACTTGCATGCATGCCTCATGCATGTGGACACAGCCAGTCTATCTCCATGTATCCATAAGAATTTTATATATGCGAAACTGAAAGGGCTATGCATTATGGGAAAAAACTGCATAAAATTGCACCTGTCAGGGTGGTAGTTGAATATCCCCCCCCCCCCCATTCGATACATGCTTTTACCTGATGCTGCAGGATAGTTTATATTAACCTCCCTCCCTTCCCCCCAAAACATCCACCAGGTCCGTGACGGCTATAACCCCCAAATAAGATACGATGACGTTACAACCCGATGGCAGCTCACATCACCTGTCACATCTGAATTTCTAGGCCAGTTCAGCCAGAAGTCATAAGTACAAAAACACACTTATTCTATAAATAACAGTCAAATACACCCCCCTCTCATTTGACACATGCAAGAAAAAATAGTCAGATCGTATTTGATCTGTCCCGCCTGTAAAAAAAAAAAAAAATGGCTGCCGGAAAATGGATCATTAAAATATGGGTCCTTAGCAGGTGAAATACACAGGCTGACAGCCAGCTGACATGAAGGCCAGCAGTGCTAAGAGACGTCTCTCCAGAATGAGAACCTTTGTGCTTCTGACAGAATGTGAGCCCCCCCCCCGCCCCCTCACGACCCCCCGTGCATAAGCGTGCGTGCTGATTAGTGCCCCCCCACCACCCACCCACATACACAGAGCATCGTGCATCAACAATGATTTACATTTATGGGTTTGAAAAGTGCTGTGCTTGTAGATTCCCGAGGAAGTGCATGCTGTTTCCCTAAACGGTGCGGCGCAGGGTCATTCCCGCCCCCATGCAGTGCCAAACTGCCCCCTCAAATTAGTGGTTTAGTTTTATATGGTCAATAGAACCAGAAATGGGAGACACTGTGTTCCTGTTTAGGTTGTGTGTGTGTGTGTGTGTGTGTGTGTGTGTGTGTGTGCCCTTCTTGTGGGAAGCAGTGTGAAGCAGAGTTTGGAGATCAGTGGTTACCATGGCATCCTACCTGTCAGACCACGCCCCCCCCCCCCAGCTTTGGGTGGTGCTGTCTGGCGGAAGCAGGGTTTGGGTATGATGCAGTTGGCAAGTGAGGGCGTGGCAAAATGGCCACGAGCCAATGAGAAAGCAGCAGACAGACTGCAACTGTCTTGAATACAGACATTCGCAAACCTCTCCTTGGACATCACCCCTGCATACCTGATTCTGCTAATTATGAGATAGATGATTAGCTGCTTATGCGGGTGCCCAGCAAGGAGGTGTATCACTCCCTGACTGTCTTCATAAACACATCTGACTTTTTCACCAGTTCCGCCAAATACTTTCTGTGTGTGTAAACAGTCATTTTCAAAATCCTGAGTACTTTGGTCGGTTTAGGGGCCAGTTATGCTGTAATAATGAAGACGGGCCTTTGCAGTGTTAGGGATCTGACATTCAAACTGATATTGGCAAACAAAATGCCTCACAACATGGACAAGCTTAGTAATGATGAATCAATTTGCATTTCTCTTCATTTAACCTGAAAATTCATATACTAAGTTACATATATGAAATACATAGCATTTTACAAGTGTTACAGATGTGACATCAAATGGACCTTTGCATAGAAATGCCTTGATATTTTCTTTATGCCTGTGAGGAATTTGGGTATTTTCACATGTTCCATCTTGCTCTCCTTAAGACATTATACACAAGAGTAATTTTGGGGTCAGAGTGCTGGATCAGCCAGTGACTTCACTGTTATAGCCAGGGGATTTGACCCAATCACCTTCCATCATAGGCATAAAGTCCTAACTCGCAGAGCCACACGCTACCACCTATATTTTATTTATTTCGTAGGCAGACACTTTTATGCTCAGTGACATACAACTCAGGAAGCAACTGGAGGTTAAGGGCCTCGCTCAGTGGCGGACCTGGGATTTGAACCAGCGACCTTCTGACTACAGCATCCTGACCCACTGAGCCACACATTGATTTATATTAGTAGCAGTCCTTAATGTCACGGTGTCCTCTGTGTCGTGCAGGTGATCCCATTCCCCATGTCCTGCGACATTCGAGACGACTGTGCCTGCCGGGACCCTGACGCCCAGGAGAACAGGGACCGGGGCCGGGCGCGCTCGCTGGGCTGAGCCGCGTGGGGGGGCTCCCCGCTCGCCCCGGGGGTGGGGAGGGGGAAACCCGCCGGGAGAGCCACATTATCCTCCCGACATGCTGCTTCCAGGAGAGCCTCTCCGCTCATACTGCACCTTCTCACCCCCCGCCCGCCACTGCCCACCTTCTCACCAGGAACCGCCGAACGAGGACTCTGCGTGGCAGAGAGCAGCATTCGCCAAGACGGGGAAAATGGACGAATGGGGGAATGCTGTCTCAACAGCTGAACCAGCGAAAGACGGGGAGGGGGGTTAAAGGGATCTGCGGAGACAGAGGATAACTGGGATGTTCCGAGCGCGAGTCCAGAGAGCATGCAGACGTGTAGTTTGGTCCCTGCTTTATATTTCATTGTTACAACTGAACAATAACCTCATTTTCATTAAGAGTACAGGATAGCACCAAAGCCCCAAATAAAGTGTTTTTAGTGTATTTTTTTTCTCAAAGTGGTATTGAAGGTACAGGTCCAGGCCAGCTGGGATTACTTATGATCTTGTGCTGTTGCATATGACCTTTGATCTTTACCCCCAGGTGACTGCGATGAGGTCGTCTCGACCTCCAGTGTCTCTTGCTTATCCATCACAGGAAAGTGGTTAAGATTCAGGGATCTAGATGCTGATCTGGATTGTGATTGTACACCGGTGAGAAGGGGAGGGCCGAGGTGGAGGGGGTTTGAGGCAAGGGTCCCCACAGTATGTCTGTGGCCGGGTTAGGAGGGTACTAGCACAGCTGGGCCGTGTCAGAGGAATAAAACTTTCCGGAAGCTGGAAGAGGGATTGGAGACAGCTAGCAACCATTCCAAGTGAAAGCGGAAGAGAAATGGAAAGGGGGGGGAGGGGTGATTAAGGATGAGAGGTGGCAAAGACAGGAGGGTTGGCGGCGGGGCATTCTGGGTAATCTGTGATGACGCGGCTGTGGTGCTGCTGCATTCGCCAACATGCGCCATGAGACCAACTGCGTCCTGCCAGACCATGTAGTGTTCTAACCACATAGAGTTCAGTCCGCTGGCGATCTAGCCTCTGATCTGGGCACATCTGTGCTCACCTCTAAAAGTATTTGCTACACTCTCACCAAACAGCGTACAGTATTACACTTTTTCACTATCTCACTCGCACACATGCGCGCGCATACTTAGCTGCAGCCCTCAACACTTCAGATTCCTCAAGGGTATTCGCGATTCTGTCTCCTACCCCCCCAAACTACCCCCCCCACCCCCATCAATCTGGTCGCACAACCACTTGTTGGGCAGTCTGGCCTCACCCGAAGGCCTCCGCGAGTCACCTGTTTGTTAGCTGTTCATGTTTGCTGTCGGCTGTGAATAGCTATGTGTGTCATTCCAAACCAGCCGCCAATCTATGACTTGTTCATGCCAAACGATGAGACGCAGAGGGAAAAAAGACCTAGAACAAAATCCAAAACATAAAATGAGGGGCTGAAAAAACACCTTATGCCAGAGAAACAAAAGAAGATAATTTTCTATTGATGTTTTATGTAGTAATTCCGGTTGTGTGTATCACATTACATATGTTACCATATTACTGTAAGTACGAAGGAATGCGCTAAACAGAGTATATAGTTTTAAATTTTTATTTGTATTTTTTATTTTTATTTTTTTTTTTTACAAAATACTTATATTTAATCAGTATTCTTATCATTGATCTCAGTTACTGCACTTGTTTTTTTAATATCATTTATGAAAAAAAGAAAAAAAAAACAAAAAGTCTACTTTAAAAAGCTGCTATGGTCTGACAGGTAATATTAAATGTGTAATATATTTTATGTCACTTATTTTATAGTGCTATTATGTTTTCTTTTAAATTTGTTGTTACTTTTGTTCTGCTTGCTGTGCACCTGAATTTATACGTTGGAGTATTTTCAAAGGTGAGATGAAAGGCCGCATAGAACGGACATAAGGCTTAGAGATGTGTACAATAACACAAATATGGAGTCAGATATTTGGACAGTTATACTGTCATTTCAGTAATCATGATTAGGCCGTGGAAAGATGACATTCATTCTGCTTGGTGTGATTCTGTTAATTCACTTCTATTGTATCTGGTTACTGTATTTGATTTTCTTTATAGCACCCTATTTCTCTGAAAACACACAGAAAATATTGTACAAAAAATCTACAAACTATAGAAAGAGGACATTTTATAAACACAATGTGCAGAATGGTTTTGCCCAGACAAAATGATACAGCGAGCAGATGAATACCACGTAATATAGGTAGAAACTTCAAAAGATCAAATGTAATTTGCTTCAAATGTAATTTAATTCCAGTTAAGATTGTTTTTCGCCCCACGTATAGCTCTTGTTAATGGAACCGTATTATATTGACATTGTTAAAAATATGTTACGAGAAATCACTGCTTTCTAAAAGTATGAAGTATTACCCTGGGCGAAAAAAAACTACACAACTAGAGTATGTGCTCATATTGATGGAAATACGGTAATCTAATATCAATGTATTAAAAGGACTGCTTTTCGAATGACCACACAGCCACATTTCCTCTTGCGGTTGTTTGCATCCGGTTTCCTCTGACTACATCACAGTAGTCTCCGCAACAACAGACCAAAACTGTGACCTGTCAGTCTCAGCGTAAACGTGAGAGTGAATTTCATCATATCGCGACTGCTCCTGTGAAACACACAACTTGTAATTTAGATTGTCTGTTGTGTTTTTTTTTTTATTATTATTTCTTAGAACTGTATGGTACTGGGCACCTTTCTGAAGCCATAAAACCACGTTAGGAGTTGAATGTTGAATCAATATTCAGATGATATTATTTCAGAAAAAAAGGAATATGTTAACAGTCTACTGTAAACATCATATGATTTTGTTTTATTCTTTTTTTACTGTACCTCATGCCTGTAATGTTTGCTGCTTCTATATTTAGGTATCGTTGTAATTTAAATCTCTTAGCAATATATAATGGTGTAAATAGTAGAATTATTTATTAAGAATGTCATACTTTTAAGTTATATTCTCAGTGTTCATCTAAATTATTTTTTACTTTGCTGTTAAAAACCAACTTTCTTGGTACGATTGGAACTAGTTTTAATTTTTTTTCTTCCCCTCTTGTCCCTCTCTATTCTTTTATCATTATATATATATATATATATATAAAAATATATATCTTTTTTTTTGGTCATGAAATGTAGGTCTAACCTTACTGCACAAAAAAAGAAAAAGATGTCCCACCAAATCACGGGGATGAAGTGTGCTGCTCTTTCCGTAAAGTTTTATATGATTCTTTCCAGTGATTTGATGAATATTGTACTTTGTCTTTGTTGTTGCATATAGTGTGCAAGAGTCTGTCTATTTATACAAATACAGAATGCCTTGTAAGTTTCACTCATTTACCTTGGCGTGCGTAAATATTCTCTCTCTCTCTCTCTACACACACACACACACACACACACACACACACACACACACATGATGAATAATACTGGGTGTACAAATGTCCAAGTTCTACTGTCAGTTAAGAGTTAACCCTATCTTTTTGTTTACTTAAGAAATTGATCACCTGACCAATAATGTGTATCATCCTGCTTAAATAATGCACATCAATTTAGCTACTTTTTACATGCCACTTTCTTTAAATTCAAAAATGTGTCTGATTGCCCCTCCCCAGCTGCCATAGGCACGCACAACCCTGCTGTGGACACTGCATCTCTCCTCGGAGAAATGAGTAAGTCAATGTCAAGTATGAATGGACAAAAAATATGCAGTTTTAACAAATAAGATTTTTTTTGTGAGCTCATAGCTTGAACTTGCTTGTCTTTTTCTCCTCACCTCCATGTAATTTACCACATGTTTTAGCATAACAGGTATAATTTCAAATATAAGTAACAGACTTGGTAGCTCAGTGGTACTGTGTCCTCACATCTCTAGGGGTAGAGCTGAGCTTCAGATCTCACTCCTGGTCTTTGTGTGTAGTTTTCATGTTATCCGTAATGCAAAAACATACATTTACTTGAATTGGCATTTCTAAATTGTCCATAGTATGTGCGCCCTGTGATGGCCTGGGATCCTGCCTAGTCTGTTCCCCTGCCTCCTGACCCAAGCAAGTTGGAATAGCCTCCAAATAACCCTATAATGGATCAGCAGGTAATGCTGGGTGAAATGACGACAACCGCAAATCATAGTCCGGCTATAAGCCCAGGAGTAAATTGTACAAACCGAAAATGATCTGTCTCCTAACTATAGGAGGTTCTGAAGAACTTGGTGATATGCTGTTCAGATCACACATGCTTTAAGTCATCAAAGTTAACGAGGACAGTCCTCAGATTTCCTGCTAGAGTCAGGGGAATTTATTTTTAAAAATGCGTATTATTGTAAGTCATGCGATGTGTCTATGTAACACCCTCAAAACAATCCCGAGCCGTTGTTAACGCTACGCTAACGCTAATGACTGCTGTCAGAATCTGCTCAAGCCCATCAGCCTTCAAAGGCTTGGGCTCAAACACGGTAAAAGCAAGATGTCCGTCACCTGTTATGTAGGCTTCTTATAGGTGGGAAATCCTCACAGAGATTCAGTCAGTCTTCTTTCTGCAATACGAAGTTTGCAAAGTCTACAATATGTAAATATAAGACTGTGTCCTTAGTGCCATACTTTGTCATTTGTCATTCTTGGGTAGTTTCCCTCCCCATCATTCCCAGTGTGGAGATCGTCTCCCGTAGCCGTCAGCACCCCTTTCACACCTCGGAATACAGTCATGGTACCCCATGGAACAGTGTCTGCACTTGGTAGCTTATCACCACCAATCCCATCATGCACTGGACACATCACAAATATATGGGCTTTTTTTTTTTTTTATTGAACATTGTCACAGATGTTATTTGTGTGTGTGTGGCACTACTGATTTACAGTATGCCGTACCATATATAAGAAGTTTCAAGGAGATGCTACTTTTCAACTGAATTGTTTAGGAATAAATCACTGGTTAACCATCAGTGTTGTTAAAAACGGTAATGTACTTAAGTTTATGGATAGACTAGATCACATATAAGTTAATAAGTTGAAATAAAAACAATTACATTGACAAAAATGGAATTCAGAGGTTAACAGTTCACTGTAACCTTTACTGATAAGTAGGTTGGTTTTATTGGCAATGTGCAGACACTCTCAGTGTTTGTAATAAAAGAAAAACAATAGTAAACTACACACAGCAATGCATTAATTTCAGCAGTATTTAATTATCCATTACTTGTATTGTTGCATGACTCCATTGAAATTCAAGAATAAAAAATACATTTTTAAAGGTGTATTTGAAATTACATTCAACTGAATAAGAGTAAATTCAAGCTGAGCAATAACATTTGTCAATGAAAATGATTTATTATAATAAATATTACATGGAATATAATAACGATACAAGGGGCAAGTATATGGAAGTCTTTAACTAGTAGAAAAATTAGTGTACACTGAAGTACCACTCACATACATACACACATTAAAAAAAACTGGGGGGGGGGAATGAAAAACATCTATGCACATATGGTGCTGGGAATGTGTTCATGTTGCAAGAATTTCCAAAGCAATACAAAATGCAAAGCCTAATATTTAAGAGGATGAAATGTACTAACATTGGTGCAGCAAAAAGGTTGAACTTTGTGGGAGAAAGTGCAGCTAGGCATTCTGGGAGGGGACAACAGGCAGAAGCACCTTCTCCCAAATCGCCGTCCCGGGACCGCAACCTGCCAGTGTCCCGTAGCTCTTGTTGTTCGGCTGCCTGGGTTTTCACACACGCCCGCATATAAATGATTAGCCTCTGTGCCTTTCTGAGTAACCGTTGACCAACCAGAGGCAGTGCGTGATGAGGGCGGGACTTCCTGGCTCATTTAATCTGCTTTCGCCAAAGTTAGCCAGCACTTGCCACTTGCATCCACTTCCTGGTGCAAAACCACTAATGGGTGTAAATTTATTCAAACTGGGGTCACTGCTTGCCAGACATTTTTTTCCAGTGACTCACACCACCTTTAATTTCACCCCTTTGTCAGTTATTTTTTTCTTTTTCACCGCAGCATTAAGTTCAGTTAATCATTTTGAGAAATCAGGAGTGGAAAAGACTAACGTACTATGGCCTATAGGTTATACGCCGACATCCTTAACCGCACTGCAAGCTGCCACAGGGACACAGCCTATGGCACTTCCTGCCACCAGGGAGAAAACGCAGAAGCAGACGGAGGGATTCCCATGACATGGCGCTGGTTTACAGGAGAGCCAGTTCAAAAAGAAGTAATATATATGTAGTCTGTTAACAAAGGCAAACAGTATTTTTTAAGATATGAACACTAAACTTGTAGGTATACATAATTATGTACTGACAAGTGTATAAATACTAGCAGTGTTTTCCTGCTAGTCTGAGTACAGCACTGAATATCATATTATGTTATATTTTCTGCTGGAAAAGGTCAGTGTAATGTTTTTTTTTCTCTTTACTTGGGGAAAAAGCTCCAAGACTACATATCCACGAAAAACAACCTTCCACCCCCTGAGGAGACATGTAAAAATGACAGAAAATGTGGCACCAGAAAATAAAAGATCTCAAACACATAAAATGTACATCAAACAAGACAAACAAAAAAATCAGAGTATAAAAGAAGACTATTAAAGCTGCATATTGCATATTTACAATTTAATATGTACAACTCTGATAGCTGACAGTCACAACCGATAAAACGGATTTTGTTTTATTTTTTTTTGTTTTTTTGTAGCAGTCCTAAGAAATAGGGCCATATGTAATTTCCCAATTGTTTGCAATACTTGGTGATTTTCCTTCATCCATTTCGGAATCCTTCAGTGGGCCGGTGTAGGAATCCCATCACTGTAGTCAGGGTTTTACCGTTTCTTCCACTACATAACATTACCCTACAACCTTTTTGTGTAAGAGTCTCTCTGAAGGAGCACTCGTGGTTTCTTTGTAAGCTCTGTGTTTTCCTGCGTTTTTTTAATGAAGACTCTAACATATGTAGTACTTAACACACCCTGGGCGACGATGTAAGACAAACGGAAAACATGGCTTTTACCAAACATTTACAAACCGGCTGCTTCTGCCGGGAAAGCTACACTTCACATCGGACGACATCACCACGCAACACACACGGCTGTCCTGTAGTTGGCAGTATAAAGACTGTTCATGGCCATGAATAAGACTCTCCCACAGATTCAAGTATTAAAAACATCCGAGCGTCTGCCCCATCCACACCTCCATCACCGTCTCCATCCTCACTGCCCTGTGAAAACTGGTCGATTATGGTTACATTTCCCACTGCAGCTTGTCCTTGTTTGGTCTTGTACCCTATGGAAGTAGAAGCACCGTGGTAACCATGTGATCATTAGCTGGGTCTTCCGACCGGCCAACGTGATCTGCTTTGGGGGAGGGGGAGGGGGAGGGGACACACTTTACCTCAATGGCAAAGGTAAACATAACCTCAAATGCCAGCTTTCATTTCCGCAATTTGCGTCAGTAACCCGGCATCCGTTCCGGTCGATCGAGTCAGTCGACGTCAAACCCGGCAGCGCCTGCATGCCCCCTCCCGTTCGACAGGAAACAGTCCTAAGCGAGGTTCTAGAGCAGCAGCGAGGGGGAGTCGGGGTTCTGCTGGGTCGGGGATGGGGGGAGGGGGGGGATCATGCCCCCCTTCACCGCATTTTGGTGTTGCTGTAGCTGTTCCTGCGCACCGAAGCCAGCTTCTCCACGCAAGACAGGCGGGTCTCGTGCAGGGACCTGCGCCACAGGGCTTCAGCGGGCCGCACCTCCTCGCTGCGGCACACCGCGTACGGCACCGTCTCCGTCCGGCTCTGGATGTAGGCGCTGCGCAGGAGGGATCGGCAGTAGCGGCTCAGCCGCTCCACTCTCCGCATGATCAGGTGCGCTTTTCTTTTGGGGGTGGGGGTGGGGAGGAGACAGAAAAAATCATCACAGATGGGCCCCTCCAAACCTGTTGGAGCAGCTGAACAATCAGCTGCTTGGCCGCTAGGTGCTTCACCATGAAGCTTCGCCCATATCTGTAGTCTCAAGGTCAGGGGCTGTGGCACATTGCTCTTCCTCCAGTGTGGATCACTCACTTACAATTTTCATTAACTTAAAATCACTCAAAATTAAGTGACATTTATGTTTTTAATGTATGAAAATTTATACATTTTGGTTTTGGGTATGACTGTCGGAATATTAAAAACCATTATATATATGTATTTTTAGTTCTTTGCAAAATGTAAATGCCACTAATAAAACCAGTCATGTGCATAAATAATTCATAGTGTGCAAATGTCAGGCTGTGTAGGACATGCTGAAACAAGAGGAAATGGAATCTGTGATTTTACTTATAAAGGAGCAGGTGCAACTTAAAGATACACCATGTTGTTTACCCCACATCAAGTCACTGCCACATCAAACCCTCCCAGAGACCACTGAGCTCAGGCGTGATTTTCTGCTTCTCTGTGGAGGACCAGCCGTGGTCACAGACGAGACCAGTCTCCCACATCACACGTCTCAAAACTGTTAGCGGAGGTCTCCATTTTCACGGATTCGCCATGATCATACACAGGACATTCCCTGCACCAATGCAGTTCCACTGAAAGACTCCTGACACACGACAAAAAAAAAATCACAAATGAATCCCTCCAGGTCGACCAAGGGCCATCGACTGGCAGCCGGTCCAAAGCTGCTGCTCAAACAAAAAAATAGCAGCGGGGTGGTCTTTCAAGTGGGGTGGGGGTCTTATCATGATTGTGACTGGAAGATCCACAGCAGCAAAAAAAAACGGCTTCTCTCACTACACCAAGCATTTACCAATTAGGTATCAGTTGTCTGCAAGTGGCACACAGCTCCTCCTATTGGTGCTAAACCGCCACAAGCTGTAGCATATAAAGAAAGTGAAAGACTTGGAGGGGACGCCTGAATGGAGTGAGCCCTTGGAGGTGGCTAAGTCTGTGCTGGAAAGGGGAGGGGTTAGGGTGGAAGGACCAGTTACAGTAAAGAGTAACTCACTGATGCACAAGAGCAGGGAATACAGATTGTGAAATGTCCAAGAGGGAAGAGCAAGCGAGAGAGAAAGAAAATTCCTTCTCAGGCTTGAATTGGCAGCATGCTTACACTCCTGGAAGAAACAGAGGGAGCCGGGGGGGTGTGTGTGGGGGGTGAGAGGCCAGTTCAGGGTTGCTCCGGGTACTGCCTCTCGTACACACGCACTCACGCACACACGCCACGCCAAAGAGGAGCCGTCACACCACACATCCTCGGCATATGCAGGTTTTTTTTTTTTTTTTTGGTTCGATTTCAGCGACCTTCCCACTGTCGACCGGCATCGCCACGGCGACCGTCTCCCCAGCCCTGTGCGGGGAGGCTCGGAGCGGCCACCTGAGCGAGACTGAGCTTGCTAGCTGTCGGCATCTGTCTCGCATTAACGCAGAGTACAAGCACCCTCTTCACTCGCAGGGTAAAAAAAAAAAAAAAAAACGGCAAGAATTTTCTGGAAATTCCACAGTCCAGAGAGTAACACAATAATACGAAGCAAGCGAAAAGGGCAGCCAACATCACTGACCGAATGTCACAGGGAAAATGTTTATTTTGCATGTTTGGTGAGAAATGTCTTGACACTATTTATTTTAAGACATTTCTTCCGCCGGACAGGGAGAGGTCAAAAGCGCCGGGTGGAATCGTCTGCCAGCGACCTGCCGCTTATCAATATCAGTAATTTCAGCTTAACCAGAAAGCAGTAAAGGCTGTCGGCAGATAGGACAAATATATGAATAATAATAATAATAACTTTTAAATATTAACAATTTATTATTGAGGTACTTTAAAGTTTAATAACAAAGCTAAATAAATATCTCAGGGATGACAGCATGGACGCTGAGGGCAGTAAGGTATCTCCTTTAGCTATGCAATGGCGGGGATCCAGTCTGCATGACGCAAGTATTACTGTGCAATCGCATTTCCCTTGGCCAACAGAGCCATTTTAAAAGCACTGCTTGTGCATTACTGCAATAAGCCCAAACACTGCCAGATCCTAGGCTGTAAATAACTTCCTGTCTTTTACGCTGACGCCTTCCAAAGGACTTTTCCCAGGTTGTGGTGGCCACCCTCTCAAATAATAAAAAGGAACCTCCTTTAGTACAAACTAATTCCAGACTTATTATTTACGCCTCCTGATGAGCAGCTCCAGATGAGACAGGGATGAAACAAGATGCAAAACTTGTCCCCCCCCCCCCGACAATGAGGTCTGCAAGGCGCTCTTATTTAAAAAAAAAATAAAAATTTGCGCTGTCATCAGCATTTTTCATTGGTCGCTATGCTAGTAAACAAGCTGTGTGTGTGGATGCCCCCCCATCATAGGATACATGCACGTGGAAATGAGGGATTTGGGGCCTGATGCACTGTAAGCACGATTTGACAGTCAAACGCGTTGTTTGACTTGGCATGGCCATGATATCAGTCATTTTATTTTTAATTACCTGAGAGCTAGAATGTTCCAAGTAAGACGTAGTTTCATCACACTCATGGGAGTTTTACTTACACAAAAATGTTTTGAGGGCAAAATGAAAATTATTGGTTCGGGGAGATTGCAGAAGAGGTGGGTCCAAGCAACTAGAGGAGGTGGGACCAACCAATCAGTCAATCAGATCTCGCCTCCCCTAGTTGCTTTGACCTACCTCCTCTGCAATCTGATTATCTCTCTGAAACAATCATTTTTCATTCAGCCCTCAGAACATTTTTGTGTAAGTAAAACTCCCATGAGCTTTCATCACAAGTTATTCTGATTTGCAATACGACAATTCATTGTCAATTTTTTTATACATTCATAAAGTTAACCTCTATAAAAGGGCTCTTGTGGGGGTATATGAAGTGCAATTTTGTTGTACATGGTAACGTGACCTGCTGCCCCCAGTCTCTGTGGTGAGGTGTAACTGTGGCCAGGCACAGTGTATCACACCTGCCTTACGCCCATATCACACCAGCCAGGGCCCTCTGTAAACACAGCCCTCTATTAAGACTTGAGCACAAGGCTGAAGAGCATGAACTCATAACCTAGCTAAAGCTCGATAGCCCTGGTGCAAGGGGCGCCCCCTGCAGGATGACATGCCACTAGCACTGGAACCCTGAGTTGATGTTGTTAGGTTATCTCACTGTATAAAGGCATAAAAAATATAAGCCACTTAGATTAAGTGTCATATAGGCAAGCAAATGCAAATTAAGGAGCATATGAGCTGAAAAGGAGGTGAAGGATAGAGAAGACTAGATAATTCTGCTTCACCATGTTAATGTAAAGCCTTAAAGTACTCTGTAACCATGGTTACAATTCCAGAAAGGTTTACATTAGAAATGGACTTCGAGGAGATTAGATCACATACCCTGATGGTGCAGTAATGCCAGTAAACCCAGTTCCAATTCAGAGTAAAATGTGTGGGATTTTAAGGTCTGCGTGGGAGTTTGCCACTCAGTGAAAGTTATAAATAGCAATTGCACATTCCATAACAGATTGTTGAGGAGTCGTTTTAAGATAGTAGTAGACTTAAGTAGTCTTAATAGCTCTTTGTGGAATGCGTACTGATGCGTCTCCGTTATTTCCAAGAGATTAACAATGTGCTGAGGATGAAATCCAAAGATGGTGCAGAATTTGGATGAAACTCAATCAAACTCCCACCCCACAACACTAATAAATTATGTGCATTATTGTACTATTAACGGAAATAAAGACTAACCATAAATGCATTAAATGCATTTATGAATAAACATTATCCTGGGTGGTTATTAAGAATTTTTTAAGAGGTGGCATTCCATTAAAAGCCGTTCATGCGTAACGTAATGTCCCAAGTTTAATCTAAAAGGCATATATGGGGGAGTTCCCCCGATTAAACACACACACACGTCTGTATGCATATCCTTGTGGGGACTGTCCACCCTAATCACAATAATGACAACCTTAACCCTTACCCGGTCCTTACCGTAATCAACCAAAATACAAGACTTTTGGCATTTTTTTTCCACTTAAGTCACGACTTTTTATTAAATTGAGTTTCCCCTTGCGGGGACAGAAAAAATGCCCTCCACAATGTAATATATACACACACACCCCTTACACACGCGCGCGCACCAACTGGATAATGCGAAAGGGCACGTGGCCATCAGCTGTCTATACAAAATAGCATTGATCGATATATCTAACGTTTATACACTCTACTCTGCACTGAACATATTTTACAAACCCTTTAAAATACTGTCCAAACATTTCAAGCTTTTCAGGCTAAGAATAATACCGTAAGAGGTCAGAGAGTGTTTCAGAATATCCGTTTGTCATTTTAGTCACCGATCTCTTCGCAAACACATGACCTCTACCTGTGCAGCAGGATCTCTAAGGAGCGCTGTGCAGTAATACACACATCAATCAATCGTATGGCGAGGCATTACGGCATTATCATTCTTCTGACGATGGATTATTGCAGCGTCTTTAGTGCCCCTTTAATGCATGTGTGTAATTAGGCAAACTTGTATCTTTCCCATTCCTGAACCTCCACGAAGCTGATTCATAAATATTCCAAATAAATAAGGCATACCAGGGCCGATATAGACCAAATGCGAGCACATGGGGCAACGGAGCACAAACAGTGCATACGAATAGCTTCATCGCCCCTAATGCACTACGCCATGTACGTGAACGAAAGCAATGCGAAGGCCGCCTTGCGTAGTATTACTAACCTGCCAATCAAACTACAGTATAACCAATCAGTCAGCCGCCAGCTTTCTCTCTTTTTCCATCTACTTTAATGACTAATCGGGCAAGGGCGCAAACTATCTGAATGGACCTGTCTACATCGAACATGCATTTTAAATAATACTGATTATACAATGTAATTTAAATATACAATGGGGAAAATAAACACTACGGAGAGCTACACTAACGCAACAGAACGATACGACTTTGTTTGCGAACGGCCAGATAAAAAAGGCAAGGAGAGGCGCTGCGTTTCGCACAGCCAGGGTGCTGCCTGCAGCCCAGCCTCCCTTTTCCAGTCCCTCTCACCTCAAGAGGCCTTTCATTCCAGCCGGATCCCGTTTCAAAATTAGCACCATGTGGGCAGTCTGAGTCAAGTCAAATATCCTACTGCAGGATGATTTCGGTTTTCCGCTAGCCAGCCCGAAATCACAGCCGTTCGCTGGCACGGCCGGAGCGCCCATCCCGAGGCACTTACGCATTTTTATAACTGCATGTTTTCATAGACGCTCCCTTACCGCTGCGCTCAGTGGGGTCGTTCGGGTTTAGGTGCCGGGACACTGCATCCTCTCCCGCTCTCAGAACTATACTGATAATCTAAAAAAATAAAATCATCTCTGGAAGTGATTAACTGCAGAGCCGGTTCCCAAATCACCAAAAAAAACTTTTTTTTTGTATATCATCTAAACTCGTGATAAATAATGAACACACAGGGTCTTTTTTTTTTCTTGTACACACACAAATTTTGGGGATGCAAATCAAACCCACAACCCTGGAGGGTCCCGTGAAGAGTCACTCTGTTACACTGATTTATTTAAGGTCCCCCCCCATATTTCGCTGCTCGCTGTATTTTGCGATTGATATCATTATTGGGTGAAGAGAGCTTATTAAACGTATGAGTCATTTGGATAAATGAAAATGTGCACTGGGCTCACAGGAAGTGATTTGGGAATTCAAATCCATGAAAAATTATATGTAATTAAACACTAATAACTAATAAGTAGTAAGTACTGTAGTATGAATAGTTACAGTAAATTCTTTAGAAAGAGATATAAATCAAGAATAATGAGAAATTCGTATTCATCTAGACCAGCTCAACTGAATTTAATTATCGATCACTTTCTGCACAAAACAAATAACACGAAATGTTGAGAAGCTGCTTATATCGCTCGGGGACCTTCACTTTTTTCCTGTCCATCTGCGTTTCTTTTCTGGTGCGGGGATTAAAAACATTTTAAAAGTGGTCGACGTATCTTTGATTAGTCACAGTTAATTTGGAGAAATACTCCACACGGTCCTGCCTAGTGCTGTGCCGCCGTGGCCGGTGCTGGCCGAACACGAGCGGTTGAGCTGAGGACAGGTCTGGATTTCATCCATAGCGGAGAATGCCGGCATCCCTCGCTAACTGACCCGGAGGCTGCCAACTCCCACGCGTTAGCCGTGACAGTCACGAATCCAGCCTCCTGCTCACGGCCCTGGGGAAGTCTGATAAAAATCTTGCATTTTTAAACCGGTTAATATCGGCTTTTAATCAAGTCGACTGTTACATTTTTGGCACAGATTCAGGTATCCTATAGTTAAGCTGAACTAACTTGCTAGTAATAGGTGGGGTATGCCTTATGTTTACTTGAGCCAATCATAGAGCATCTTTACTATCCAGATGACCCTGTGCCCTAATGTACTTTGCTGAGCAGAAATTAGGTAGCTTCATGTTAATGTCCCATCCCATATTCTCCCACATTGCTACGATACAAGGATGCCAACTCTTACACTTTTTGACTCACGCTCACGCAAAAAATCTATATTATTCCATTATAACCTTTGGGTAGTTTGCGGACCCTACAGACTATTTACAAGGTAATAAAACAGCTACATGTGAATGTGTGTGCAGACGTGTCTTTTTGAATTTGGATTAGGAGCCTGTTTTCTCGCTTAGGCTAGAATGAAGTCCACAGCTCCTGCTCCTTATACATTTTCTTATGAAGTCAGCTAGACAGACAGGAAAGAATTTGTTGGATCTTTAGGAAGGGTGACCGACCTGGGCCCTAGCTCGTCCTCACTCCGCCACACAAAGTCCCCGAACTTCTCGTAGTGCGAGTTGTAGTGGTGCTGGATGCGGTAAAGCATTGGAGGCGAGATCTCCATCAGCGTGTTGTAGGCTGTCTGCTGCTCCTTGCCGCTCGTGTAGCCGTTGTACAGGTTGTACACTTTGTCAGCAATCTCTGTCGGACAGAGGTCAAAGGTCATCCATCGCATATTGACCTGTGTGTGCATTCAGGGCAGTTTTCTGGTTAAAGGCAAGTCATAAGGTTTTTGGCTTAAATCACAGAACTGGCCTTTCTTCTGTATACTTGAATATTTATAATAACAAAAGCATGCATACAATTATTAATTACCAATGTGATTATAACACAGATATCTATTCAGGCAATGCAGTGAAGCAGAAATATGTGAAGTGAGTGTGAATTTTGTGCCCTTGTTTAGCAGATGATGACAAGAAGTGTTGAGATGCAACCTGAGCTCAGTGAAGGGGGAGGAGGAGACGTGAGCAGAGAAATGGAGAGGGTCCCGTACCTTCTGCTGTGCTGTCGTCCACCACGGAGCACGAAGTCCTGACTGACACATAGCTGGACTCGGAGCGCCCCCCACGGCTGTCCAAGGCGTACAGCGTGAACCTAGAACCAAGCAGACCAGACAGATGACCCCGACGCAATGAAACACTGCTTATGGAATAATAAAACAAAACATATCCGAAGCATGTTAAGGGTGGGGGACTCGTCCTTTGGGTAAAAATGTGACATTTTCCAGACTAATCATTGCGCCGTCCCATGCGTGATTCCTACAAGCCCCTAATAATGGCCGGGAAACTCCTGCCGCGCAGATCTCCATAGCTCTCGTCGAGTCCGCTGCCAATTCTGTTACTTACCTAAATTGTCTTGGAACGTGATGCAGAAAAGGCACCAGAAATTTAAATAACCAGCTTATACTGCCTGTAATGACAGTGTTACACCCCGACAAATACAAAACATATTCTACCTCCACGTGGCCCCCTGGGGACCCCCCCCTCGGTAAGTCCCAGTCATAACAGAACAAAGACACCCCCTTGTCTACACGACTAAAGGCTTCTTGGAAGTTATATAACTACCGTGCGGGAGAGGAAACAGCTCTCCTGAAACGATTTGCCCACTTTGGGGTGGATTTTTTCCCAGACATCTAGCCTTTAATTGTGATCCTCTGGAGACGTCTGAGGTGTGCGGCGGAGGGTAGTGGTGGGGCAGCTTTCAAACTACCAAGCTGGCCCGCGGCTCCCACATCCTAAACACAGTTCAGCGAGGACGACGGCTTTCTGCAGCTTGTTACAATGCATACGGCTCTGAGCATGTGTAATCGAGGTATCAAAACCGGGGGAAGGCTAGCTGTAAAACGTGGGTGAGCCAAGCATCATGCCACATTCCTCTAAAATTACGGACCACGGGACTAAACGAATTTACAGCCTAAACGTAAAATGAATACTATTTTCCATTTGATTAACTTTTACTTTAATTGTAAATACATTGTCAACAGACTTAAAATTACTGTCATTACTGATGTTACTATTATTGTAATTACATCCAATTTCCTCTATAAAGTAAGCATCATTACTTGTTATATTTATATAAATCAGTGCCACATTTTCCATATTTTTTTAACAGAAGGGGACTCTTTGAGAGGATTTCCCTCTGCAATGTGTAACAGAGAAAGAGAAGCTCAGAAGAAAACAGGCTTTTGTACAAGGTAGGCCGAAAAGGCCTTAATCCATTCAAGCCAGGGCGAAGGAAACTGGGCACTTTCCGTACACTAAATTCCCAAACAGTGGAGGCGTGTTCCGCGCAATTTCATATGCAAATAGCCGGCTTGATTTTCAACTTGGTTTGTTGCGAAACGAAAAACGGTGGACTGTAAATATCGCAAAACCCACTATAAATACATTTAATTGTTGAGGAACTGGCCTGCCGCGCCTCGTGACAATTTGGGTTTGGCCCCACTGCTGGGAAAGAAATATAGCGTTTCAGCTCGTAATTAAATGCTGCGTTGACTCAACCTGGAGCCAAAAATTCTACTAATGATGTGGAAACAGCGTTTCTGGGAGATACACCGAAACAATGAAATTAATTGAATAGGATATTGAGAGCAATAATATTTAAAAAATATATAATATTTTTGTTGCTGTATTAGAAGCCCACAACATGCTTGACTTGTAGCTATTAGTATGGTAAAACGGTACTTACTGTTTGATACCAGAGAATTTTAATAAATAAACTGGGATAATCACACATAATGATATACTTCTCAGACAGATGGAATGTGCCCCTAGTATTGATTCACTATAACCAGTGGGATAGAGAGTGGAATTGCTCGATAATCATCTATACATTCCACAACATGCTTTATCTTTGCCAGGCATTTGTAAATGTTGTTCTTAAATATTCAGCTACAAGTTCCAACTTTCTGTCCAAACTTGAAACGTGATCAGTCAGAGTTTCTCTCTGTTCCGTTATGTGTGGAGAATGTGACTTACGACTACGACTTACGTATGGCCATCACCCACTGGCTGTAAGAAATTATTCGAGATCGTTTGCTATGTCTGATGTCAGCCGCTCAACTACACAATAACATGGCTGCCCACGGTGCCACGCCAAACGTCGCAGTGTCCGTCAGCACTGCTTACCACATTCAGTGTTTGGGTGTCGGTGTATGAACACAAACAAAAGTGTCTAAAGAGCTTATTTCTGTTTGTTTAATACTGCAGCATTGCTTTGAAAATGGTATAATGTTTGACCAAATTGATTTATAACCTTGTTTCTGTTCCCTAAACTTTCACACTCGTACTGTTGGTTATATTAAATCTGAATTACTCGTCTCAAAGTTCAGCTACGCCTTGATATGCCACAATAACATTAGTATCAGTAAAGGTGAACTGGTACCATATAAACAAATAGTAACCAAGAGACCCTAACAGTCTGGGTGTTATGGAAGCATAGCCAAGAATGTTGGACTGCCCTGAGTCTTAAGTATCACTACTTTGCTTTTTTTAATCATACTACCATAACACTAAAGGACCACCCAGACACCATCTCTCCCTTTAGCTATCGACTCGTCCCTCTGGCCAATGGACAATAGCACATCTCCCATTGTGTTAGCAGCTAATTTCTCTGGCGGGTGCCGGTGGTGGTGGTTGTGGGGGGAGCTGCCAAGACCAACAGCGAACTCCCCGTGGATACCCCAGTCCGCCACCGTCCAATAAACGGTGGCGGCGGTCGCCGGGGTGGGAGTGGGGCGGTCGGCTTTTACGCTTCCATAAAGCAAACAATAAGGCTGTACTGCACCCTACTACTGGCTACATTCAAAATAAACATGGCGGCGCGCTGAGAAAGAACAGAGCAAACCAGGCCTGATGGTCTGGGGCACGTCTGCAGCACGTTTGTCCAATACCAGCACATAATTCAATCTACTGTAAATAGCCTCCTCTTAATGTTCTAAACACTGCACCTCGTCCAATTATTCAACGGCGACCTCATGCACACTCACAAATAATACATGTGGCCTTCACTCAGTTTTACTGCACGAGAAAAAAACAAAAACAAAACCACAGATGTCTGTGGTGGGATCCAAATTCTGTGTTTAAAATTAGTACCGGAATAAAATAAATAAATAACGACCCAAGACGTACAAATTGCACATTTACTTCCACCACCCCCCCCCCCCAAAAAAAAATACATTCAAGCAAGCATAATTAAATAGCTGACTCTGTCATTGCTAGTCTTGCAAGCCACATTTTATACCGCTGACCGATTGTTTTGTTTGTATTTTGACTTGTTTGTACGTTGTTAACATTTTTTCGTTAGATCGTGTTTTGCGTCGAGGGGGATCGCTGGTATGCCCCAAAAACCTCATAAAAGGCAATGAAAGAATTCGATTTCACTGCAAAGCCAGTGCCAAATCTGTGCTTATTGTAACAATGTACCATGTATGCAATTGTTTGAATTAAGTGGTTGGGTTATGGTCCAGTGAATTTAATGGTTTTGTTTTTATCAGCGACTTTGGCCAGAATCGTTGGGGTTCGGAGATGTCTTGTCAACTTGTTGCTCTGTTTTTAAAAGCGCCTGGCATGATAAAAGCCACTTTTCTAAACATATTCATTTCACCGACATTATGTCTAAATCCCACTCTTACGAAAAGCCTTTCCAAACCAAAATGGTTGTTACAGACTTTCTCCTAAAATCCAGGAAACATCTTGGACAATAGCTGCCGCTTGTTCTGATGTAAGACTAGACCACAGGAGATGCGTTTCAGGGAGATGCACCAACCTCACTGCAACTCCCTCACTGCTTGGAGTACAAAGGTCATTCATGCTTCTTGCTGAGTTTAATCAAAATTTTCCTAATCAGCTACAGTACGTAGAGACAATGTTGAACTGGGTGCTTCCTCATACTAAGGATCTGCTTTGCAGGAATGCAATGTATGGACAGACAGACAAGCAGGCATACAGACAGACAGACAGACAGACAGACAGACAGATAGATAGATAGATAGGATAACGCTATTTTGTAGTGTGGATACACTGTAAATCTTACACATTCAACAAATATTTGGCATTAGTAAGGATCTCCCCAAGGACAGTAATGGCAGGTCAATTATGGCTTTGTCAGAGAAAATGTACAAACAGGGTAACATTGTTCTTCATCTTTGCAACTGTTCCCCAGCTTACTGTGTTGTATTTATTTTTAAATATACAAAAATGGATGGGGGTTATTGCCTGCCATTCTGTGAATGAAAAAAAATGCATATGGTCCAAAGAATTGCAAAAGTTGCAATGAATTTAGTAAGTGATCTTTAAAAAATCATACAGACACATACACACATATATAAAAACTGCTACTCAATTCAGTTTAAAAATACTTGGGTCTACAAAGCAAAACATTTTTTACACTAGCTAAATTTTAGTGAATCTGCTTTTCCCACAGGCTGAGTCTTACCCCATCTGACAAATCCAAACGTTATCTGCTGGGCCAGTTTTGGGCCAGTTTGGGACCAGTAAGTCTGTGGAATTCCAGTTTAACAATTAAATACATAACCATAAGTCATTCTGCAGAAGGCGGAAATAAAATGATTAAATGCAATAAAATTACTTTAATTATAAACAGTTACCCCATTATTTACCATAAATGTAATTAATTGGCAGTATAAATCTATCTCACCTCCAAGATTTACTGAGCAATCCCACAGATGACGTCAGGACGATGGAAAGGACAGGAGGAGTCCGAGCATGTAGACGCAAGCCGGATCTCTTTACGCAAATGCACCGCCGAGGGCCGAGCAGGAAAACATCCACAGGAGTGACAGAGAAAAATGGGTGGTGATCGCTAACATTTTGTGGTCAGGGGGTGGGGCAGGTGCAGTGTGTGGTCCGCGGAAAAAAGAGACTCCCTCTTGCTTCCTACTAATTGTTCGGATGACTCAAAGTGGCAAATATTGTTGACGGCGCTTTCTCCTCCATGTGTCAATGCCTGCTGCTGCGATGTCCTGCTGAAATGCCTGACTCCTCCATATAGCCCGAGGTGGAAAGTCCAGGTTCAGAAAGTACAAATCCAGACCAAAACTTCGATTCAACCAACCAGTGGAGTATAGAGCAGGG